AAACTTCTTGTACCACTGTCTCGGTGCTTGTTTCAAACCATATAAACTTTTCTTCAATCGGCACACATGATCTTCTTTACCTTTAACCTTAAAACCCTCTGGTTGTTCCATGTAAATCTCTTCCTCAAGATTACCATGAAGAAAAGCTGTCTTCACATCCATCTGCTCAACCTCCAAATAAAGAATAGAAGCTAAAGCAAGCACAACTCTAATGGAAGACATTTTCAAAACAGGAGAAAAAATTTCAGAAAAATCAACTCCTTTTCTCTGATTAAAGTCTTTGACTACTAACAGAGGCGGATGGTAGTTAGGGCAGGGATGGCCTTCAGCCCAACCCAATTTTTATTTTTTAAATTAGTATAGGTCTAAGTTTTATTATTAGCCCACTCCAAAATTAGCTCCCAGCCCATCCCACAGCCCAGCCCACCTATTCAACTTACCTGTGAGGCTGCGAACTGGCGGAAGTGCGAAGAAGAAGGAAGACAGAGTTGCGACTTGCGAGTTTGCGACGAAGAAGGCAAGAACTCGTGATATGAGCTGCGACCCTGCCGCACCACGGCTTCCTCCGCCATCCACACCGCGTCCCGCCATCCAGAGCCCTCCGTCATGATTGATAGATTTTAGCCTGCCGCTATGGCCTCTTCCTCCAGCTTCGAAGCTCCAGCCTCCATGTGAGCTTTTTAGATTTTAGCTCTATTATTTTTTTGTGACTGTTATTGACTTACTGTGTATTACTTCAGTAATATTTTTAGCCTTTTTGGGTTAGTGAATCAATTTGAAAATTAATTGAATTTTTCATTATGAATTAAAATAGTGTTTAATTCACTGTAAATTTATAATGATTAAAGATAGAATTAAAGATTACAGATTTAGAGAATGATTCATTTATTATACAGTTGAAGATTAGAGAATGATTTATTTATTGTGTGGACATGTAATAAATAATTGAAATTTTCAATTGAATTTTGAAATTGTGAATACTTATTACTTCTAGGTACAACGATTGTTTTTTACTTATTAGTTTTTATAATTTTATAGAATGTTTTTAATTCATATGAACATTGAAAATGTTTTTTAAAATAGATAATGAACATATTGTCAAGAAAGGAAAGTGAAATGAATATTCAATTAGTATAAAATTGTGCTTAATTTTGGTTCGATAGATTTTCGATGTTCGATTTTAACACACGATAAATTAGAGGCAAAATTAAGCTCGAACTCGACTATATAATTCAAAAAAGCTCGATTAGATAACAGCCCTGACATAAACCTTGTATGTATAGCAAAAAAAATTGCTGCTTAGCCCATCCCACCTCTCAATCCTTGATCCGCCCCTGACTACTAATCTAGCTTTGTATCGTGGGTTTGAGGAATGTTCCTGATATTCGTGTAATTTTCGATTGTATGTTTGTATTTTTAACTAGTTTTTATTAGTTGTAGTTGTGGAAATTACACACTTTTGGTGTAATATTTTATTTTCATTTTTATTTGTAATTTGTTTAGATTAGGATTATTCTGAGCTAAACAGGTCAAAGATCATCAAAGGGATCAAGATTGGACCTTAAAAGATCAAGGAAAGTGCAAGGAGACAAGAAAGATTTCGATTTGGAAAAAATACTCATGTACCCGGTCGGGTATTGCCTATACCCGATCGGGTATTCACTTGATTCGATTGTCCAAATCAAATCCGAGAACAAATGATCGTGGGAGCAAATTTTCGTGAAGATTTGTCACATACCCGATCGGGTATGCCGACATACCCGATCGGGTATGCCCAGAAAAATCACTTTCTGGGCAATTTCCTGAGATACCCGGTCGGGTATCCTATATACCCGATCGGGTATCAGACCCTGCAGCTCCCAAAAGCCTATAAATACACCCCTTTCCTTCCCAATAAAATCACCAATTCACATATACTCTTTAGCTCAGTTTAGATTAGTGTTTTCTTTATATTTTCTATCATGTTTAGTCTCCAAATGAGGAGCTAAACTCTTCCATCTTGGTTTTGCTACTTTGAAGCTTAATGAATTTGTAAGTTGTGAGTTATTCTCTTTAATCTTCTTCCTTGAATATTAATTCTTCCTTTAAATACTATTTCTATATCAATGTTGGGGAGTGTTACTAAGATGACAATTAGTTAACATCTTGACATTAGTTATAGTAATAATTATTTCTTCCTCTACGTTAATATTGGGGAGTGTTACTAAGATGACAATTAGTTAACATCTTGATATTAATTATAGTAGGATTCATCTTCTTTAATATTCTTTCTTGAGTATTAATTAATTCCTATTCATATTTCATATTAATATTTTGAACATTACTTAAAGGATCAACTAGTTTTGTTTCATATATTAATTAATACTAGAATCGGTCGATTAATACGCTTGTTATTAATTCGGTCCTTTCATGGTAGTAAACTTGGATTATTAATGCATGCATCTCATGGTTAATAATCTAAGGGGAATTAATTATATTGATTAAACCAATAAACCGCTTGTGTTGAGGTTATCAATCTCAATCGTTTTCATCTTAAGTTTATTGCTACTATCAATTTAATATACGGCGCTTGTTCTATATTGACTCGATAGTAAGGGGCCGTTTACTTTTTTTTTCATTAAGTCCTGAATGGATTAAGATGTCTGTCTGCATTAAGTTGTCTGTATAGATTAAGTGACCCTGAGATCACAAACTGTTTACTAAGTGAGCTGAATGAGAAGTCTGAATCATGTCAAATGACCAAATAACCCTCATGTCTGGAATAAGAGCTGAATATATATTGTCTGTTTACTTGTTCTGAACATAATTTTAAACACAAATATTTATATTAAATCAAATTTTCATAGAAAGTATTCTAAAATAATCAAACTTAAATAATTCTAAACATCCAACTATAACTAATTAACTACTACGTATAAAAAAAAGGGAAAATGGAAACTAATAATCCAACCATTTAGCGGTCTTCTTTCAATAATCCCACCTTTTGATTATTTATGAATAATCCAACCTTTGCACCCCATCTTCATTTGTTGGTCCCTGATCGGTTAATGACTTGCTATTCCAAGTTATTTTGTTATCTTTGCAAAATATTATCTTTGTGAAAGATGAGATTTATGGTATAATGATTTGCAAAGATAAGAAAATAGATTGGAATAGCAGGTCATCAACCGGTCAGGGACCAGTGAATGAAGATGAGGTGCAAAGGTTGGATTATTCATGAATAATCAAAAAGTGGGATTATTGAAAGAAGACCGCTAAAAGGTTGGATTATTAGTTTCCATTTTCCCTAAAAAAAATAGCACTCCAACTTGCATCCTCAAAATAACAGCGCATATACTTCTTCTTCTTCAGAACCAAAAGAGCAAACAAGAAAGTACTTATATATTCTTCTCCTAGCCACGCATCACCAATTTGAAAAAAGCTGGAAACTATTTAAAGCCCCATCAACAACAGAGGAAAAAATCTCGAATAGATCTTCTGTGTCCTCTTCTTTCCCGATAATCAAAACCAACGATAAATGTTCGGAAGACAAAAAACTCACTGCATATACCAACAACAATAAAAAAACTCCCTAACAAAAGATTAACCATTTAATATGATTTTGAAGAATATGGCATCTCTAAATTAAGTTGGGTTTCAAAAAATTTACCAATCTATGGGAACTAGATTGTTTGGAAAGTCAACAACCAGATCGAGAACCAGGACAAAAAAATAGAAACAAAGATATATGTAAAATCAGAGAAAATACAGATGAAGAAGTTGGGGCTTAAGGTTATTCTTCGTTGGTTTCTTGAAAGCTCACAAGATGCTCAGGTCGCCGACTTTAGCAGGTTTGTAGCGCAGGTTTGTAGCCGAGACCGCTGTTGTGTCGCAAGATGGCAGGGTTAAAGGTGGCATTGAACGAGTCTGAATGCTAAGGAGTGTAAAATTGAAGCTGAATAAATAAGACGTAAATTGACTGAGCGAATAAGTCATACATTTAATTAAGTCCTAAGTAAACACAAGTATATAACTGTATGATTAAGTCATTGTTTATATTCAGCTCATTAAGTCCAATGTAAACAGGCCCTAAGTTTTATTAATGAACGCTTCTCGTTATTAATAACTACCCTCGATGAACTGGATATACTCCTCGATTGAGTATTCGAGAGGAAGATAGTTAAAGATATAACCGGGATCGACGAACATTTCATTAAGTGGATAAAAGCAAAGCCAAGTCTTCTTCTCATTAATTAAACTCATTTAAGTCATTCATCTTAGTGTTAATTAAATCAAATCAAAACTAAACCCCCCCATTTTGTTACTAGTTCTATAAAAAGAAAAGTATTCCTTTCCCTGTGGATACGAACCTTACTACGCTATACTACATATAAGTGTTGTATTGTATTATTATTTTGAGTGCACAGTACGACAAAGTGCACGTCAGTTCCTCCTGTTTTAACCTGTAAACCCACCTATTCTTCAAAGTTCTCTTACCATTGGGTAACTTTACCAAATCAAAGGTATGATTATCATGCAAAGATTCCATCTCATCTTGCATTGCCCTGAACAACTGATCTTTTTGCTCACTTTCCAGTACTTCATCGTAGTTGAACATCACATATCATACTTCATAAGTTGTTCATAAGATGTTTAGATAAGTTCTTGAAAAACATCGTAGTTGAGGTCTTCCATCAGTTAGGGAGGTTTGATTGAGTGTGGATGTGCATTTTTATCTAGAAGGAAAAAAATTTCACCAATATGCAGTGCCCAGAATCTAGACTCTAGAGCCTTCCAAATGAGCTTTGGCTGATCTAGTTCCTATTGTTGTATTCTGTAAATAAAGCACCTATTCATGTTTTCCATATTGAACTTTAAAAACATGTTTGAGTTCACCGATATTTTGCCATAAATTATTATTTACACTCACAAATACATGCATAGAAAATAGAAATAGAGCAATGGTTATAAAAATTTATGTTGGGACCTCAATTATTTTAAGTTACCAATTTGTACTATGATGCTTAATTAGCCCACAATTCTGAAGACATTATAATCATGCTAAAGCATAATGCCAAATCCACATACTCATGTTTTTTCAAGAACTTCTAAGTTCCAACACATGTATGATATATAAAAACGGAAGCCATCTGCTTGCACCTTTGGTTTCGATCAATCGATTGAAACCAAAGCTGCACAACAACAATTAAAGAAAAACCATGTCTAAGCTATATAGCATATAAGGAATTTGTTGGAAAGAAAAACAGAACACAAAATCACCAAATCAACACGTTTCTTCCCGGGGGTGTTCTCTTACAATGTTATCTTCATCATCATCTTCAACAATTCTCAGTGTGCTTAGCTTTGGGCATTTCTTCAAACCATGTTGAACAAACGTGTTCGTCACTCAATGTCTTTCTCTCCCAAACTTCTCCAAGCTTCGATCGATATGCCATCAATTCAACCAAATATTCAAGAATAGAACGGTTACCCTTGATGGTCTTGGTCATGGTGGTTTTGAGCGAAATTACGCGTCCACGGGAGGTACTGGCATAGGCGAGAGCCAACTTTTCCCATGCACGGTGAGCTGTAGTGACTGGTGAAAGTAGCGGTTGAATTGTTTCGGAGCAGCTTCCGATTAACGCACTCATGATGACCTTGTCCTGGCGGTACTAGATGGTATAATAGGGATTTGGTTGAGATTTAGCTTCGTCTAGGAATTGGTCAGGAGTGGTCGTGGTACCATCAACATAACCTTCAAGTCTGAGGCCGACAAGAGCGGCATGAACTTGGCATCTCCAGACAAAAAAATTGGAGGATGTGAGTTTGATTGGAAAATTGGTAGTGATGGTGAGTTGGATCACCGGGGTGGTGGCGGTAATGGCCATTAGAAAAAATTTATGCTCGTATGAGGCTAACTCTAGATACCATATATGGATTGCAGAATAGTAGTTTTCATATATACATGATTCGACGTACATGGATCAATATTTATATATTAGTGGAGGCTAGCTATGGAGCTATAGATACGTATTGGTTAGGTATGCTATTGACTCAGTATACATGATAACATTTGTACATGGTAATTAATAATAATAATTGATGGACTGGATGAACATTAATCACAAGATCGAACTCAAATAGTGTGCAAACGTTTATAGTACAAAGTGGATATTAAATGAATAAAAGTGCACTCATAAGAGTTAAAAAAGATTGCCATTTTTTAAAAATTTGTGCACATTTTATGATGTACCGTTATGCAATTTTGTACTCTGCATGTACTATTTTTGCATATGTTGGTACACGTTTCGTATAAATTTTTTATTTAAAGTTCTTCATAATTACCAAAACGCCACCGCGTTTTTTACTTAAAATTTGATCTTTTCCATCCATTTTTTCATATCAATGGCCAAGATTAGTTCTTATTTTTCACCCAGGAACCACTTTTTATTTGATTCATACTCTATATATATAGAGTGGGATGAGTTCAAATGAGAAGACATCTTAACGTGTAAAATGAGAATTAATCTCAGCCGTCCAAAGTGTCGATTTGATGCACAATAACCCCTATCTGATGAACTTTCGAATAGAACTTATTCGAAAGTGCATCAAATAAGGTCTATTCAAAAGTGCATCAGATAGGGGTTATTTTGCATCAGATCGACACTTTGGACGGCTGAGATTAATTCTCATTTTACACGTTAAGACTTTTTTTATTTGATTCAAATTCTATATAGAGTAGTCTTCGTGTCCAGCCGGCCTGATGGGAACCGCCGTCCGGTTGAGGGCATTTGGGGCACATCCCGGTGGAATTATTTGATGAAATATTTTGAGCATGTTGTTCATCAAATCTAGTTTATTGATACCAAATTTCAGCTAAAAATTCAATCGAGAAGACAGTCACATAATTTCTTGAAGATAACTGCGCAGTTTATAATAGGTTCTGTTTCAGACTCGGACTGTACTTTTGTTTTTCCAATCGGTCACTGAACCAAGTGAAATTTTTTGATCGAGCAATAGGAAAATGAGAAAAGAGTACTTTCATGGATTTCCTTTAATGGATACTTCCTCCGTTCTTAAATAAATGCAACAGTCAACATTTCACACTTGCCGAGACACAACTTTGACCATTAATATAAATGATTTTGTATTAGTAAAAAAATTAAAAAAATTAGATTATGAAAATTTACAATGAGACAAGTTTAACAATATTTTTTTCATAAAATAATATTATTACATTAATAAATAAAACGTAGTCAAAGTAGAACATGTGAATAGTGTAAAAGTCAAAGTGTTGCATTTATTTAAGAACGGATGTAGTATACTTTTTCATCTTTGTTTTATACTTTTACAACACTATATTATTTCTAAAATTTGTTGAGAAATCTAATGTCCTAACATTTGGATAAATAGTAAAGGACTTTTGTTGTTTTTCTAAATGAGTTTCCTACTTACAAAGTCAATTACAAGTGTATATATATTTTGTGTATATTTTACACTTTCCTGTATACACAAGATGCTTGTATGCATAAGTGATCATCTTAAATGTGTACACATTTTGTATAGAAATATGGAGTGCATCGTACATTCGTACTATGTACTTCCTCCGTTCTCTTTTAATTGCAACAGTTAATATTTCACGTTTGTCAATACACAAGTTTGACCATTAATATCTTTCATTTCTTATTAGTAAAAAATTGAAAAAATTCATACTTTGAAAATTTAGAATGAGAAGAATTTAACAATTTTTTTAAAAAATATATTTTATAATACATTAATAAATAAAATATAGTCAAAGTAGAATATATAAATAATACGAAGTATAATTTTTGTTTTAAACTTCAAATTAGACTATTAGAGATTTAGAGTGACATACTGTTGAAGATTGGGCCCCACCATTTGAATTGCGTGGGTGACGTGATTTCTGTAGCATATTTGGCATTCCACCAGATGGCCTTATATTTGTCACACTCTTTGCCTGTCCAGCTCTGGTGTGGTTTGAAGTTTGAACAACTAATACTACCGCCAAGGCGTGAACGGGTCGGGTCGCAATTTCTCTTCCAGAAGACGAAGCATACCGCGACTGAAGAAGACTCCCGACGATGTAAGATTTCTTCTTCCCTCCCTTTCTAAAAGAAATGTATTTGTTGTTGCAAAACTTCTAAGAGCTCTCCAAAGTTCCGCGTTGTTAAGAAAACCGCCATTGTTAGAGAATTCCCGAGAGCTCTTGCGGCTAAGGGCTCCAGTTCGGAAGCCCGTCCAGAGCTTAGAGCATTCGGACCCACCCGTTTTATATGTGGGATTCGGTTTTATTTTTCGGGTTATTCTCGTTTCAAGAGATTTATTTATAAAACAACGGAATCTGTACATTCGGCGGAACTTATTTTAAAATCCCTTCTCCTTTTCAGTTTTGTGAAGTTCAAAGAAGATGGTGGAAGCGAGGAACAGCAAGGTATCGTCACAATGGTGGTGGTTCGAGACTCAGAAGAACGGCTACAAGAATCGCACCCCGTGGCTTCAATCAACTGTTGATGGTAATTTCTTGAGTTGTTATGGGTGTGTTTGGAATGCGGAAATGCTATAGAAAGAATATAGGGAATCAATATAAGAGATTGGGAAACAGTTTTTGGGAGGCAAACGGAACATTGTTTCAACCCTAATAAATATAGTTTTACCAATTAGTTCTTAAGAGCCCGTTTGGTAGCACCAAAATCGGCTGTTTTGGCTGATTCTGCTGAAATTTATGATATTCTGGCTGGAATGGCTGTTTTGGCTGATTCTGCTGATTTAAGAAAAAAATATTTTAAAAATATATTTTATTAATAAATTAAAGAAAAATTATATGTAAAAATAGCTAAAATGGTCCTCTACAGTAACTTCAGCCAATACAGCCAGAAAAGTAACTCCAACCTTACTTTTTCGGCTTATTACACAATTCAGCGCGCGAAAGTAAAAGTTACGTGTTTGGTGAAAAAGCTGGCTGATAAGCCTGATAAGCCAAAAACAGAGTTCTCCAAACGGGCTCTAAATGTCTATGCTATAATTGCAAAGCAATCTAAATATGGAGGACAGTTCACATCAGGAGTTCCTGATGAGAACCCCCGTGCGGACAAGACCATCAGAGGGTCTTTCCGGTGGAATTTTTTGATGAAATTTTTTGAGCATGTTCCTCATCAAGTCTAGTTTGTCCATACCAAATTTCAGCTCAAAATTCCATCGGGAAGGCAGTCAAATAAATCCTGGAAAAATATGGTGCATTCTGCGCACATATAATGTGCAGTATGTTTCCAGGATTTATTTGACTGCCTTCCCGATGGAATTTAGAGCTGAAATTTGGTATGGACAAACTAGACTTGATGAGGAACATGCTCAAAAAATTTGATCAAAAAATTCCACCGGGAAGACCCTCTGATGGTCTTGTCCGCACGGAGCTTCTCTGATAGGAACGGGACTCTCTAAATATGTATATTAAACTTAACAGCTTCCATCATAATTCATCTTTATTTGAGTTGATTAAAACCATACATAATGGAATCGGGGGCTGTTTATTTATTTTATTTGTTCGATTTAAATGTCTTGATTAAGTGATGTTTGTATAAGCGTGGTAATAGTAATAATGAATTATTTAGACTCTATGCCCTGGGTTTTTTTCTTTCCAATCAATGTATAAGTCACTGTTGATAATTGATATTCAATGCTTTCAAAGATGTAGACTTTATTTGAATTTAGAAAACATACCCCACGAAGCATTTTGTCTTTGGACCGTTGGGGGATTTGACTTGCCCAACATCTATGATCTCTAGCTGCCCTACTTGTGATATTAAAATCCTTGTAATAGTTAAAGGTGCGTTTGAAAATATTGCTCTTACCTTTGTTTTTAAAAAGCCTAATCATTGGAATACATTAAGTTAATGAAGTCTAATTGAATGGATTCAATCCAAATGAACTTTTCTTTTCGACAAACCTAGGTTCCTAGTCTTCAAGAAATCCATCAATAATAAAGCAATAAAAAAATTATGTCACATCAGTGGTTATATTTTTTTTCTTGAAGCTGATATTAGTTTGACCAAAAAAGTTTCTTATATCTCTCCCCGTCCCACAAATATGGCTCTGTTTGACTTTTTGGTCAAAGATGTTTATATCTTACCGATAATAGTTTATAATATGAAAGTGTTATTTGTAAGCAATACACTCCTAGAACTACAAAATGTATAATCTACATGGACTGTGGCTTCCTCAGAAAATTCTGTATTTACACAAAAAGGAAATTACAAAAAGGACAAAATTCAACTAACTTGAGGTGGGGCTGAACAAGGGGGGCAACCCATGCACAGATGACAGACCCCCAAGTTTAGTCTGCCTATACTTTAGTACAGGGGTAATGCTGCGTACATCCGACCCTCCCTTACCCCACCATAGGTGGGCCTTTGCGGCACTGGGGTAATGATGAAGATGATGATGATTATCTTCCAGGCTCACCCAAAATTCAAAAAATATATTGTGCTGGCTACGCACATGGATAACTGGAATTTTATCCTAAATAAGAAATGGTGCAAGGATGAGGTTGCTCTAGTAAGTATATATATGAGCCCTAAAATCAAAGATTTTCGATGGGGATTTTGATATGCTTTTCTTTTAAAAATGTTCAATATTTCTGTTCAGAACGATCCAATTGCGTTGAAGATCAAACCTTGAACGACCCAAACTCAGACGCCACTAAACCCGAACTAGTTAAAATTCTTCAAACTGGATACCTAAACTAATTGGACCAGAACATGAAGAGGCCATACTTGCTTTCATCCTGACCCTTTATAAAAAGTTTTGGGTGCGCCATTGTGTATGCCCGTGCACATGTATAATTGATTGGCTAACTAGAGTAAGTAAGCAGGAGTTGGAGATTCTTTTGCTTGCAATGCTTCTGCAATAGCTCATTTATATAATTTCCAACCTGCTTTTAATGTGTGTTGTGCTGAAATGCTAAATCAACTACACTACTGCTCTCAGAGTTAGATAAGAGGATAAATGCAATGTTAAGGATAATCGAGGGAGATGCAGATTCATTTGCACGGAGAGCGGAGATGTTTTACAAGAAACGGCCTGAGCTCATCAACATGGTTCATGAGTTGTACAGGGCCCACCGCTTACTAGCTGAAGGATACGATCAAGTGAAGTCTGAATCTGGTGTTCGCATCTTATCCCCCTGGCAATTCCAACTGAGTAATAACTTCAAATATCAGTCCGAGAAATCGGTAAGCTCAACTGATATGACTTATGATAGTCACTCGGAAGAAACATTTGACCTTGAGGAGTCTGAGTTGTCTGATGTTGAGGACCCCACTGAACCAGAAGGCGCCCAAATTCAGAAGGAAAATGGAATTGAGAAAACTTCAGTCTGCAATGGCGAAGTGGAGAAGCTGAAGGAAGAAATCGAGAGACTAAAAGAAGAGAGCAGAACTCAAAAGGAACTGCTGGCACAGAAGGATGAAGAAAAACGAGAAGCCATCAGACAACTTAGTTTGGCTATGGATTTCTTGAGGGAAGAAAATACAAGTCTAAAGAAGGAAGTCTACTTGATGAATGTTGGTAGGGAAGCCCAACGACCTCCCATGATGAAGGTGGCACCAAGAGAAGGGGGGTTCTGGAGGAAGTTCTTCCCTGCTGCTCATCCAAAAGCTGAAGTTAGTCTGGTCACTTTCTAGATTCCGGGTTTAATGCCATATTGCGCTAAGTGTATTGCAGCATGTAGTATATAATCTGTAGAGGACACTATGCTTGTTCTGGTCTTTGTTTCGTTAGTGTGGATTCCCTGTGATGTATGCTAGCAGAAGATGTTAACTGATCCCTATATATTTTTGCTTCTTATGTTTCCTTTATATTGTGTTCCGACTTTAGGTTCGTTTCTGGTCTTGTGTGTTTTTGTAACAATGATTAGGCTTGGACATTTTCTTGTTTCAGTCCGGATTTGGTCCCAGTGAGGGGAACCATAGCCTGCTGGTAACACGATTCTTTCTGGGTGCAGTTTACCAGGTTGTTCCGGGCAATCCGGGACCAGCTCTGGTCTTGGGTAGTTTTGGATCCAGTTTTGGGCAGTTCTGGACCGAATTTTAAACTCAAATCAGGATCTTGAACTGGAGATTGTTGATCTTGTGCCTATTTTTTGTTGATCTTATACCATTATTATATTTAATTATCTAATTATCATATATTTATACATTATCCCCTCATTTAAGATGTATTTTGGCATTTCACACATTATTTCACAAATATGTCATTAATAATGTATTATGAATGATTTTAATAATGTTTTTTTTAATTTTAATGGTGTTATTAATTGTAATTTTAATTATGCTATTTTCTTAAGTATCATTTGGATTCTGTTATTATGTTGTTTCGATTTGAAACTTTATTTATAATATTTTGTGATTTAAGTTTTATTATATTTTTTTAATTTTCTATCAAATTAATAATTTAAATTTATTGTTCTATAATTTGTTGTTCTAAAAATGTGTCAAAACTATAACAATCAAAACTTTGGGTCTCATTTGAAATAAAATAAAAAAAATAAAAAAAATAAGACGGTGCAAGGGATGGTGATGCGCCATATATGGCGTAAACCCAAACCCTCTCCCCATTTTGGTGAAATGGTGAAAGGGATGGTGTAGCTATTGGAGTAAAAAATTGGCAAATCCACCATATTGGTGTAGGAAATGGTGATTGTTGGAGAAGCTCTTATGGATGATAAAAAGGGAAGAGTAGCCCTCGGGGCCAGAACATGGACTGGAACTGGTCAATCTGCTACCTATTTTTGGGTAACCCGACTTAGGGGTACCTGTTATAGTGTTTGGTCGAAAGCGGATTAACGGATCAGTTATGGACAGAAAAACCGCTGGTGTAAGTAAGTCCTACTGGGCCGGAATGAGGACCATGTCCAAGCCCAACCAGGATCCAACAAAACTAATCTGAATCCTAGCATATACCAATCCTTTAAGGGAAATTGTCCTAAAATGGACTAAAAACATTTATGTATTTCAAAATAGGGTTTTCATGTTTTTATTTCCTAAATAAGAGTAAAAAATACTGTCATGTTTTGGTAGTACCAGACTGTAAACATGAAAATATTTTCCACACTTTATCGTAATTACTCCTACTTAGGGAATAAAAATATGATAGTCATATTTTGGAATTCTCAAACATTTTAATCCTATTTCCCGGAATTTTTCCATTCTTTAAGATGCTGCAAAAGCTACTCTTGATTGAGGCAGGCATTTATTCATTTGTTTTGTTTCATCTTGTACTCCAGAATCATCACTAAAAGCCATATGAAATGAGTAGAATTTGAAACACAAACCCCTTGAAATTAACAATGACAAAGTGTGCAGAATAGATATTACTGAAGCATATGAAAAAACTGAAAAAGGCAGATAAAAACAGAGAGAGATATTACTAATAAATGAACTATGCACCTAAAAACAATAATGATTGAAAAAACTGAAGCTGCTCACATAAAGTTTGAACTTCTATATATATACACACCAGACCAGACAGAGATATGGAATATCCAATATAGTGTCAAGCACAGAACTATGAATGGTGCATGAAGAGCAACAGAGGATGAAACTACTGGTTCTGGAGAAAGGGCCACTGGAAGAGGGACTGGACTTGCTGCTGCATCATCATCTGCTAGGGGAGGGCTGGGGCTTGAAGGGATTGTGGGCTGTGAAGAAGATTCTGTAGGAGCAATGGAGGGAAAAAGTGGTGATATATCTGGAGATGAGGTAGGAGGTGAAGATGACTGAGGAAGAGATGGGAGCAATGATGGTGCTGCTGAGATAGTGGATGTGGGAAGACTCTGCTGTGAGAGAGACTTTGGGAGCTGGAGGATCAAGAAAATCATGAAGAAATTAATGAAAAGCCTTGTGGAAGCCATTAATGATGTGTGGGATGGGGGTGGGGTGGGGGGATCAATACCAGTTTACCAGTATGATGGGGGAATGAAAATGAGGTTGTAGAAATGGGAATTATTAATGAGAGGGGGGAATGTGAGGTGGTGGGGTGGGGTGGGGTGGGGTGAGTAGACAGCTGGTGGTGTGTGAGTGTGTCTGAGGTTAGAGAAAAAAAGACTGATAAAGGAGGGGAAAAGAAAACGCATGAAAGCAGAAGTGGGTGTTTCTGTCCATTGGGTTTTGGCGTTTGGCAGCCATTCATCCTCTGAAATTCCTGTCCTCTCCAACCACCGATCACCCATTTTCCATTTGTAAAGAACTATTTATACACACTTTTTGTACATACTATTTAAGGAGTTAGTTTTTGTTAGCTTATTCACAAACAAATCATGTTTTGTACCTGAGCAGGCTATTCACTACAAATAAATAGCTGTTACAAACGTGTCTAAAATGATGTGTACAAAAAAATGTGTAGATAGAAGAATTTCTTTTCAACCTAACATTACGTTGTACTTTTTAACTGTTAAGTTTTCTTTTCATGGAACAGAAATTTGGGTGGAGTAGATGGGGTACCCGTTACTTTTTTAAAGATGAATTTGCTTAAAGGAATGCAGATAAAAATTGCACTTCGTTTTCATATATTCTTTTCTTTATTTTGTTAAGAAAATTATTATTTTTGCATTGTTTTTTTAAACACAGTGATAAGAACAGAAAAAAATAAAATCAACGCGGTGAACCGTTGTCCGATAATCAACGATAAATAAATACCGTTGCCCAAAGCCAAAAGGCCAAACCAACTTTTATTCCCTCCTTATCAAGAATGAAGCATACAAGGGGTATAAATAACCCTCTAGGTGTAATAAGAATAGGAATCCTAATTAAATTAATCTAGGAAACTAAAATAGAATAGGAAACCTCTAGTTCTAATAGAACTCCTAATTAAATCATTCTAGGAAACAAATTAAATTAGGAAACAAAATAAAAGGAATAATAAATATTAATTAAACAGCCCGCAACCAGCCCACGAAGGTGGCCTCAAGCCCGTCCCGCCTTCGGTAAAGCCACGGGGGCTTCTGCCCCTCTTCTTCCAAGCCTAGATTCTGCTTCATATCAATTTCACCCCCCTTCGAAAAAACCTTGTCCTCAAGGTTGAAATCCGGAAACCGGCTGACATTTGTTCCCGGTGGCTGCCCAGTATCTTTAGGAAAAATTGAGATGTACTCCTCCACAGTCCCTATCTGCTTGCCTCCGGACAGCCATTCAAAGCAATTGCCCTTAAACCGTGAGTCAAAACGAGCCGCCAATGCTTGTGTAAGCTCATCCCATGACATGCCCGGTTTTCGTGTCCGTAATGAGGTCAATCGGTACAAGGCTGACCCTTCCATCACAACTACAGTGGCTGCCACCTTCTTTCCCGGCGGAGTACAACTCAGTTCGATTTGATGCTCAGCCCTAGCAACCCAACCGATCGGGTCTTCTCCGTCAAACGAGGGCAGCGTCGTGAGAGAAGTGTTGCACAGTCCAGTTCCGAACGTGGATGTTGCTGCCGCGTCAAGTGAAGCCATCGCTGATAAATTCTCCTCCGCCGCTGGCGGCGCGACGGCGCGAGAGCCTTTGTGAGCGCAGTCAAGGAGGAAGTGACGCTGCGCGACTGTCCGTCGCTGCTGGGCGCAAATACGGTGGGGCTGCCAACCGCGTCAGGGCTTGTTTCCGTCGTGACTGGCGGAACGAACGCCTTGGTAAGCGCTGCCAGTAGGGGAGAGCAAACCCGACCCTACCCGATTGACCCGATCGGATATATCCGATTTTATTTTTTGGGTCAGATAACCCGACCCGAATGACCCAAACCCGATCCGATTTTTGCAACCCGAGAGTTAAGCGGGTAGCGGGTAGGGTTACCAATTATGCTACCCGACCCGCCCGAAAACCCGAACTAGGGTAGTATATATACTACTTTGAATAATTATGCATGTTCAAATATCTCAAGTATTGTATGCCAATTACCATATTATGAATACTCAAATATTCCAATCGTCATATTTGTAAAACTATAACTTTGAATGTTGTATTGTTATGATTTTGAATGATATTTTCACCAATTATCATTTTATTTATCACAATATCAAATATGCCAATCACCATATATTATTATTTTACATGTTCAAATATGTTGATTACCGTATAAAATCTAGTCTTGGAAGCTCTAATAAAATCTAGTAAATGACCCTCGGCATTTACTCCACCGACTTAGGTGGTTTGCATTCCGAGGTAAAAAAAATGTCGATTACCGTATTTATACAACTATTAATTTGAATGTTATACTAGTATAACTTTGAATGATATTTTTACCAATTATCATTTTATTTATCACAATTTCAACAATAATAAATTAAAATCCAAATGGACCCGAAAACCGAACCAACCCGACCGAAACCCGAACTTCTTCAACCCGAAAAACCCGATAAATTTTTTGATCGGGTAGGGTTTGAAATTATCAATCCGATACCCGAACGGGTTTACCATTTTTGAACCCGAACCGCCCGAACCCGACCCGTGCTCTGCCCTAGCTGCCAGGGATGCGGCGATCTCTGCCAGACGCACGCCGTGCTCCTTTAGGGTTTGATTCATCCGAATTTGCTTGGCCACCATCTCTGACAAATGTTCACTGATAGATCTCTTCATTCCGGCGGGATGGGATCCGGCAGGTCGGACCAATTGATAAGAACAGAAAAAAATAAAATCAACGAAGTGAACCGTTGCCCGATAATCAACGATAAATAAATACCGTTGCCCAAAGCCAAAAGGCTAAACCAACTTTTATTCCCTCCTTATCAAGAATGAAGCATACAAGGGGTATAAATAACCCTCTAGGTGTAATAAGAATAGGAATCCTAATTAAATTAATCTAGGAAACTAAAATAGAATAGGAAACCTCTAGTTCTAAAAGAACTCCTAATTAAATCATTCTAGGAAACAAATTAAATTAGGAAACAAAATAAAAGGAATAATAAATATTAATTAAACAGCCGCAACCAGACCACGAAGGTGGGCTCAAGCCCGTCCCGCCTTCGGTAAAGCCACGGGGGCTTCTGCCCCTCTTCTTCCAAGCCCAGATTCTGCTTCATATCACACAGCCTGTTCATTGATATACTCAATTAAAATGATCTATAGTGATTTTGTTAGTTATTATAACATCTCCATCTTTTTGGTAAGTCGACAAACCCAATATTGACTCTGGTTTCACTGTTGGAAAAATGTGTGAAAAATTGCATTAAATGGCTATTTTGGAGCAATTTTTTGAGTGGGGTCCACTTCCGATTTGGGTCGGGTCAAAGTGGTTTCGGATTCTCCTTACTTAGGGCTACAATTCGATATATGGTACGCTCAAAACAGATAACGGGTGAATGAGAAATTGTTTTTCGAAGTTTACTTGTTAGGAGGGAAAAAGGATGGGTTTCTAGTGTGTTAATTTCCCACACCGGAAACCCCAAGGGATTTGCAACCCTTTATAAAGGGACTCTCCCCTTATGGATTTAAGATTCCTAAGGGTAAAGGCTCTCTCCACGCGCGCAAGGGGGGGGGGGCAAATCAAATCCCAAAATCGGAGAAGAAAAACCGCGACTTGCGTGCGCGGGCGACCTGCGGACACGAATGTCGTCCAAAAATCCATCTCTCAAGAGATACAGATAATTTTTGTTTTCTTCCCGAAACGTAAATTTTTTCCCGGTTGACAGAATTGCCTAGCGGCAGAAATGCTCCAGCCAGAACACCTCGGTATGGTGTTCTGGTGGCTCCGGTCAGAAGGCCTTGGCAGAACCCCTCTGTAGGGGTCTTCTGGTGGCTTGGGCCAGAACCCCTCTGTAGGGGTCTTCTGGTGGCCGCGCAACAGAAACCCTCACAGGGTCTTCTGTTGGCCGCGAAACAGAACCCCTTTCAGGGAGTTCTGTTGGGAGGTCTTCTGAACCGTTACAGCAATAAATGCCCAACGTTCTTATCTTTTAATGCAACGTTAAATGGATAGTTCATGGACGCCAACGGACTGGTCATTGATGTCCAACGTTCATGTCCATTAATTCACCATTTACACACAACAAATCCTCCTATATAATGGCTGGCAGGTGGTTTGCAACAACACACGAATTCATACACTCCATGCACGTTTTGCACCTCTAAAACACACTGCTAGCAATCTGAAAATTCCCTCTGTGTTCATACTGTGTTCTCGTTCGCTGGAACTTTTGTTTGTGTGCTCAAACATTAGTTCGTAGTCATCGTATCCTGGGAAACTATTGTTGCAACGCTCCTAGCACCGTGGGAGGCAACAAATACGTTTTAAGGACATCGTGCGTAGCACGAGCTTTGACTAATTCTGCTTCATCTCCTTTCTTGTTTTTCTCTAGTCATTTTATTTTAATTAATTTATTTTAATTAATTTTCTTTATTTTCCGAAACACACCCAACACACTCACTTTGACACGTGTGTATTTTGTGAAGCATCCAATTCAAAGATATATCCACCATAGAGATCCCAATTAATCCTACACGTGTGTATTTTGTGAAGCATCCAATTCAAAGATATATCCACCATAGAGATCCCAATTAATCCTTTCTAGTTGACAGGTCCTTTCTATTTGGTATTTTCAGTTGTTTCACGGGCATTTTTTTACATTCCTTGAGGTTGGTTTTTTGAAGGTTAACTGGATTGATCCTTTGAAGTTTGAAGCTTACTATTCCAATGAGGATATTCTTTCTTTGGTCAAATCTAAAGTCTCTTTGCTTGGTTTAAAGGTTCTCTTATGATAAATGGAGGATATGCTTTCTGTAATTTTATGTGATCTCTTTTATGTTGACTTGGATGTTACTTTTAGCTCTTGTTACTTGGGGGTGTTTTTATGAGGGGCTAAGGTCTGGCCCTCCCCTCTTTGTACCAGTTTCCATTTACTTTTATTAATAAAATATTTTATTTTGAAAAAAAAAAGATTAAATTGAAAAAAAATAAAAATAAATAAATTACATGTAAAGTCATTGTAATGCTTTATAAAAAGCATGAAAATATTTTACCACCCTCTTAAACGTCAAATACTTTACATTTTTTTAATATAAAGGATCGGCTTTTATTAAAAAACGAAAAAAGATACAAGGTAACATCCAAACAAATGTCTATGTTTGGCAGGCAAAAGTCCGTGTCTTCTAGTTTTTAACTATTTAAAAAGTCTCTAAAAGTTTATAGTTGTTTGTTTGGCATGACAAATAAAAGCTTTTCAAAAAATAAAATATCTTTTTTGAGATGTTACAGGGAATAGCATCTGAGAAAAGTATGTAACTTTTAGCATTAAGTAGTCTCAACAGCTTGGACACCAAACAGAATTTAATCAAACAATCAATTTTTTACCAAACAGCTACCACCTTTTCATTTTAAGATTTTTTCAGTCACTAAAAACTAACTGTTAATAAAAAGCCAACAAAAGTACATTTTCAACTAATTGTGCCAAACATACCCATAGAATCAGTCACCTCATACAAAACAACCTAATTCACTAGACACGAAACGGGCAATTTAAAGCCTAAAACAGTCTGAATTGAAATACTGCCTATCAAACATACTCCAGAAGTCCAAATTTCCAAACCAAACCTACTCAAACTAAAATAAAAACAAGTTCTACTGATGAAAAACTAAAATTGAAATAGAATCTTCCCACAAAACTCTTCATGGCGTGAAGGCGATTATGGAGGAGGACGAGCTCTACCAATGTCTTCGCACTCTACAAGAAGGCACACCGAAACCTCTACCAGACGAATCTAGTCGAGACATCAAAAGAACTCCCCACAAGTGTCCGGGAAAGAACCGTCATAGAACAAAATCATTACAACCAGAAGAGAAGAACAATCCAATTGAATCATACATCTACCAAGAATCTCTAAGAGTCGATGTCACCATCAGATAATTTGGATCCTAAAGCAAGACGATGGAAGAAGAATCTGCCATCAGGGAAAAGCAAGTCCAACGCCAAACGAAAACCTCCCTCCTTCACCGCAATCTGCCGATTTGGAGGATGGCTCTTCTGTTTTTAAATACTTTACATTATATAGTGCAAAATGTTAAAAAAAAATGACTTGTAATTTACATTAAATAATCAAATCAAATGGCATAAGCTTTTACGTCTCTACGCTTCCCATAGAAAATAATTATTTTATATTCTACTAAACGTACCCTAATTGTAGTCATTTTCAATTGTGGAAATTAAAAATTCAACAATTGAAGGGTTTTAGAACTCTCAAACACTGAGAGGTAGGTCATAAATCCACCTGATTCATCCCTCGCCACCGAAATATAACTCTCAAGCATGCATAATCTTAGAAAACTTGTAATTATTGGAAAATTTATAACTATTTTCTTTACCCCTTTTTAGTAGTGGTGGACTCGGGCCGGGTGGCCCGGCCCGGCCCGGCCCGGCCCGGTGGGTCCACCGGTTCGGTTCGGCCCGGCCCGGCTGCTGGGCGGTTCGGGCTCGGGCCCAGTTTTTGGTGAACCGGCCCGGCCGGTTCGGGCCGGTTTTTAATTTTTTTTTTTTTTTGAATTTTTTTTAAGTTTTGGGTTGGATTAGGTATTTTGGGCCATTTCAGGTGGTTTGGGGTTGAGGGGGAGGGGTTGGGGGCTAAATAGAAGAGCCAAAAAAAAAGAAAAATATTAGAACCGGTTAGGCCCGGCCCGGTTTGGCCCGGAACCGGAACCGCCCACCGGCGGTTCGGGCTCGGGCCCAACTTTCCTGGCCCGAGGCCCGGCCGGGCCCAGGCCCGAACCGGGCCCGAACCGGCCCGAGTCCACCACTAGGAGTTTTTAGTTATTTGATTCACGTATTGTCCACCTGTACGTAAACATATTATACTCAAATTTTGTGTAAATTTATAAAATGTGTTAAAAAAACATATTTTAGGATACATCATATAGTGCACGTAACGTACATATCAAACACATTTTTGAGTTCAAAATATTAAATTGTAGCGCAATTTGAGTTTTTTGAAATTTACGCATATCGAAGGGTGCAACCGCACAACTCATCATTCTTTCCTCGAACACACATCAACTCTAATCGTTTCTACAATTATTAGTTTATACTCCGTATTACATTCAAGCTAGATTACATATGTCATATCACTCATATGTCTGGTAGTAATACAGATTGTGTGGCATGTACACTGAATATGCTATACAATACTGATATAGTAATACATGAATAATGCTATACAAAACGAGCATTGGGATAGTAATCACAGTAATAGAATAATGATAGTAATCATATAATATGCTGTACACATGAAGAGTACCACGGCTGATGCCCCAATGGCAGATGCCTAACTCCCCCAATACCGTATTTCTGGCTCCTCCACGGCTTGTAGTGTGCTGAGGCACATACATATCTTACATACATATCCTTCGGACAGTGGTTAGTGAATGATCGCTCCCATCGGCGAGTCATGATCATCAGGAATGATGAATCCCCTCCCTCCAAACACAGGTCGCATGCAGGAATCATCAAATTTCCTCCAGTAGTAGTGAATTGTCTTAGTAGGTTGGCTCAGAAGCATGCAGAAACTCGGTCGTCGATAGATATTCCCATTATCCGTCTCGCCTGCAGTGTCTGACCCTTGTGCAGAGCTTAATAGTGGGAGTGCAACAGATTGTTCAGATGAAAGTGAGCTGCTCAAATGTTGGGATGGAGGCAACAAGCACTTCACAAGAGGCTTGGTTAGCAGTCCAAACACCTAAAAAGTATATATACATATTAAAAGAGAATGCACTGTCAATGGTCAAACATCACCCTCGTGTTAAGTATTCCAAAGCAGATGTTTATCAAATTTAAATATCTGGGATAAGGGTCAGATAGGGCCTCGAACTCGGAAAAAAATGTCAAATAAGGTCATATTTCGGATGCTCTGTCTGGCCGACGCCATTTGGGGCGGTTCCCGATGGAATTTTTTGATGAAATTTTTTGAGCATCTTCCTCATTAAGTCTAGTTTACCCATACCAAATTTCAGCTAAAAACTCAACCGGCAAGGTAGTCAAATGAATTTTTGAAGATAACTGTGAAGTTAAACAACGCCGTACATTTCGGAAAATTATTTGACTACCTTCCCGGTTGCATTTTTAGCTGAAATTTGGTATGGGTAAACTAGACTTAATGAGGAAGATGCTCAAAAAATTTCATCAAAAAATTCCATCGGGAACCGCCCCAAATGGCGTCGGCCAGACAGAGCATCCGAAATATGACCTTATTTGACATTTTTTTTCGAGTTCGAGGCCCTATCTGACCCTTATCCCAATTTAAATATGATGACTGTGTGACGTGAACATCGCCTCTTAAAATCTTTTTGAGGTGAGCAAGACTCGATTTAGTATGATATGAGAGCCAGATCAACTATTTCACCATTTAAGCTTACCTGCCCGGTTGGGCTTAAGGGACATGTTAAACATCCCATATTGAATTCTTACAGATCCATATGCAACATAAGTTCCTTTTGGGGTGATTTAGGCTCATTTAGTCATCTTAATACATCAATCCAATATAAGGTTCCCCTAATAGGATAACATTTTTAGGCACTTTTTATCCTCAAATCTTGCCAAGTAGGATAACATTTATATGGAGCAACAACTTTTTACCCAAAAAAGAATGGGAACATTCTTGTGGACAGCCACAAAGGCATGTGGGAACCTTGTATGCAGAACTTTTATATTATTAGCTTATTATTAGCTCAAATAGCAAGAATGATTGGCAACAAACCGAGTTCAGAGACTGAACAGCAACACCGAAAATTCTATAGTTGAAATGTCAAAAAGAGAGTCTCATTTTGAGGCAGTTAACATTACATGGCAACTTTACTTACCACTGTACTGATGAGGACGACAGTGATTGTGCTCGTGATCATGAGAGCATTTCCTGGCTGCTGTGTGTGGCCAAACCTTGTGAACTGGCAATAGAACAACAATCAGGTTTTAAAACAATGGTTGTTGTTCTTATAGTTTAGTATGTTTCTCAAAGAAATTGGTTAAAGGACAATCTTGCTATCCTTCAATATACCTGATTATACGACAATGCGATAGAAACAGCTCCTCTCATTAAACCAGCCCACCAAATTACTACCTGCAAGAGGTATTATATTATTCTTCATTATAACCACCATTTAAGATTTATCATAAATCTTAGGGAGCTTTTGAATATGACCTGTTGCTTGGCATTTATTTGGTCAGTCTTCGATTGGTTTGTACAATTAGATAGGAAGGACAGTAAAAAGACAAAGCATGCTCTTCCAACCAAAACCAGTCCAAGCAACACAGTGCTCGCTCCAACATATTTACCTGGACTGTTAGTTTTAATTAAGAAAACTTAGAAAACCTAAAACACAAAGCAAAAACTAATACTACCTGTCTACCTATGTCTCAAAAACCTGAAGTCCTATAGGGGTATAGGACCAATGTGAAACTTTTAAATTTTGGAATGGCACAATTGACACAAACCTCACAATTGGCACAAGTAACTTATGTATGTTACTTGACTATATTTATCTTATATAACTTGTGCAACCAAAAAAGTACCTTGTGCTCTAATTACATCACTCTTACCTTCCAAAGTAGAGGTTACGGGTTCGAATCTCATCCCAATCAAGATTGATATTAAAGTTCAACAAATATTAAGGTTACAGTGATTGCAAAAAATGTGCCTGACCCATTTTTGGCACTTTTTTGACAGATCACATGAAAAACTAGATTCGTTTAATCAAAACCGACTCATTTTTCCAAAGAAAAAGATAAATTTATTATGGACGCTTAAACTAGGAAACTGGTCTATAATAGTACTCCATATAAACTAGAAAGAATACATGCATACTTTCATGCATAGTAGAGTAGTTGGATAGCAATGCATATATTACTTGTAACAGCATTTAATAGATTAGCATCTCACGTGTCATTAATGAGTTTCCATTTCTCCATGTCTAAAGCATCCATACCAACATATAGGAAGATGACAATTTCAGCAATAAATGATAGTGTTGCAAAAGTATGCCTGCAAATAAACAGAAAAAGATTCCAACAGTGGAAAATAACTTAGTTCTGCACAAAACAAAAGATTCTAACTATGCGAGAAAGTATGCATGTCGATTTAAGAACTGATGGGATATCTTTTTTAATGTGAAATATTTGAATCTAACATACCTGGTTGTCAATTTAGAACTTGTGGTCACATTGTGCCAAGTATAATGTGACATAACGATCCCACAGAAGAACACTGTGAGAATTCCACTTAAGTCAAGTAGCTGAAAGACGTAGTGATCATTATAAACAGTTTCATAATACACCCCTTATATAAATACCAGCACAAATTCAATATATCATTGCAAACATACTTCAGCCAACATATATGAAAGATAAGCCAGGAGAATCATGAGCGCAATTTCACGATCAGTTGAGTGCCTGTAATATTATCAAATCAGTCAAAAAATAAGTTACTACATCCAACATATCTTACACATATTGAAAAATAAGCTATAATTTTAGCTTTTTGACCATGAGTGGAAGCATACCCCCCGTGATGCCACAGAAAAATTAACCAATTCCAAACACAAACCCCCCCAATGGAAAAGATATCTTAACCCTAATTGCAGCTGTAAATAAAAAGATGCATAACCAGAGTTGTAGTTGCTAGTCAGAAGATCGAAAATATTGACACATGCTCCCTCCGTCCCTATTTAAGGTTCCAATTCAAAATGCACACATTAAGAAAATGACACTGTTTGGCACTGTTTGGCACTGTTTTGTTTACCAAATAAGAAAAGGAGACTTTTTAAGGGACGTCCAAAAAAGGAAAGTGGGAACATTAAATAGGGACGGAGGGAGTATAATATTTTCAGATGTATTGCATCATATCACATGCTAGACAGATAATAATCATTCCGGGAGAAAAAACTAAAGTATGTCATGAAGTTTAATTTCAAACTGGGAAACCAAATATGCATTGATAGGTTGGTCATTTAAAAGTTAAAACAGAAAGCACAGATAAAAGAATGAAAAGATTCAAAACAGGTGGCAATAGAGTATTAGCCATTAAGGTGTAATGATAGAATTGATGTAGAATCAAAGAAACCAATTACCAGACCTGCCAAAATATATCTTTTTTATTATGTACGCACTGACCAACCCAACCTACAAATTGCAAATATACATTTCATCTAATTAGATAAAGCACACTCAAGAAAACAAAAATATTTGGGAATTTTCAGCGGTGCTTATTCAATATCCTTTGTATTATGTCTCAGGGTGACAAGACAATGAACAAATATTCAAATGTGTTTGATTGGAAAGTGTATAATGGACCATTCAATACTATAAATATAACAGCAAAGATAAATACGTACCAAAACTCCTAGAAGAGTACTAGCTGTAAACAAATAAAAGAAACTGCCTGTTAATTGTAAGGCCGCCTTGAAGTTAATATTAGAGAGGTCAGCTTTTTGGATGGCATTAAAAAGTACCACCGATGTTGCATCGTTTACAACACCTTCTCCAAAAACTAAACTATAAAGAAAAGGTGTTTCATCCTGATTGAGCACCTGTCGGTAAGACCACAAAAGCTCACAGAATTACAACTAAATTCATTATTTATGAATGATCTTCTATGGTAGTACAATTAACTACTGGTCAAACGTAGCCATACTTGCAAGGTGCAAACAGAATCTGTTGCTGAAAAGATAGCTCCAATTGCTGCAATTGAATGAAAAAGATGTTCTTTATGAATACGTAAAGATTAAAAATAGTCTAAGGTTGCAGTGATTCTATAATAGACCTCTTGTAGTAGAAATTGTGGTATGAAGCTATTGGGATATCAAACAACCAATGTCTACCTAAGTGGAAATATCAAACCACCATTGCTACATTACCAAATAGTCAAATGCCAATGAAGTTGAGAACTTCTTCAGTTGGTATAAAAAAAGTTGATAACACAACTTACGCATTGAAGCAAGAACAGAATGCTTAAAGGAGTGTTACCAAGATAATCTCGAAGCTCCAAATAACCAATGTCCATCTTCTCAAATAATTCTTTGGCACCTGAACCAAAATTCATATTTAGTGATGGTGATCCAGTAACAAAATTTCTATGCGATGATCAATGTTGAACCAAACCTTACCGAATGATATAATACAAAATGATATTAGTGAACCAATGACGCCAAACAGTGATATGATGATAGCATTTCGGAAAAACTGCTTCTTTTTCATCTGGAACCTGGTGGTGACTCAGGGAACAAGAAAAGTTTAGGTTCAAATACAAAAACTAATTAATTAAGAGAGACAAAACAGCTTCATATGTGATCGTGAGGGCAAAACAACAGTGGAAGTGATGGTAAATCTCACCCAGCGTTAAATATAATCGGTGGTAGAAGATATATGAAGAAGAGTTCTTCATTAAATTCGAGGATACGGGAACTCTTTCCATTACTAGTCAGTAGAATGATTCCTCCAGCGAATAAACCCTGGATCAAACCCGAACACCCATTAAATTTCTTAGAACCATAAGAATCAATTATTCGCAACTAGCCAACATCGATCGAGGAATCAGTCATGAACAAACAAAAAATCTACGCAAAGCTACTCACAATAAGTAGAGCTGTAACGGACTCATTAATCCAACGATTTTCTTCTAGAAGATGGCCAATGACAATGCACGCGCAGAGAAGCGTTACGAACAAAGTTATGGAATCAACGGAGAGGCGATCGGCATCGGATACGGCGGAACCTAGCCTCATTACCACAGTGTTGACCAGATTAGTCAACATGCTCTCCAACTAATCCTCAACCTCCCCTGTTAATCGAGATACGAGTAGTATACTAACTATATGATCCGGAGCAAGTGTCAAATGAAAAATGCCAAAATTATCCCAAACTAATATCATGCTTACCAGGAAATCGCAGCAAACGAGTTCCAGTATCTAAAGCCAAAATTACAATCCTTGATGAAGAACTTTGGTTAATTGTTTGGCTTAGCGATGAAGGTAGCAGAAGAGAGAGGAAAGTGGACGTCGAATCAGATGCGCGCTGTTTATTGGGTTTGAAATACCGCGAAAGCTGGCAAGACCGAAAAAGTCTGGTCAGCGTAGATTTTATACAAACAGGAATAATAACGCTTCGTATGTTGAAGATGAAGGTGAAAGCACTCTGAAGTCTGACTCTAAACCCGGACCACGATTAATTGTCTTATTTAGCAGCAGAAGTAACGGTTCAAAAGCACTCCGAAAATTCATTGGTTTTTAATGCTTCTACAATTTAGAACCCAACCCAGTTTTTTGTCTTATCTGGTTTATCAGCCAGTTTTTTCCTCAAATACGTAGCTTTTGTTTTCGCGCACTGAATTGTGTAATAAGCAAAAAAAGTAAGGTTGAAGTTACTTTTCTGGCTGTATTGGCTAAAATTACTATAGATGGCTATTTTAGCTATTTTTACATATAATTTTTTCTTTATTTTATTAATAAAATATTTTTTTTAAATATTTTTTTCTTAAGTCAGCAGAATCAGCCAATGCAGCCACTTCAGCCAGAACTTCATAAATTTCAGCAGAATCAGCCAAAACAGCCGATTTTTGTGCTACCAAATGGGCTCCTAGTAGTACCTCCCTCCTATTATTGTTCTATTGCGGCTGCAATTTACGATGTTTGATCGGATAAAACAGATGAATTCATGTCTAAACTCAAATTATTTTTTTGAAAAAAACGCATATTTGATAAAAAATCAATATATATATAAGAAGAACTTTTCAAGAGCATACAAAGTGTCACATAATCATGTCATGTCATCTATGTCAATATTTAGTTTTTTAATAATCCGTACCTTTTATTTATTTTATTAGAATCTATTTTTGATTGCATATTGACATGGAAACAAAAGACCGTATGACAAAAATCCATCTTATTTGGTAAGTGAAGAGAGAATGTGGCAATGAGATCATGATTAAAATGTGATACATATTCGTTAATATTTTATCAACCAAAAGCCATATTTTTATTAACTCATGGCTAAGTATTTTGATTAAGATTCCCTCTTCACAAAGAACTTATTCGTTAATATTTTATTCGTTCTAACTCAATGTTGAGATCATGATTAAAATTCTCAGCCCCGGATATGCATTTGTGTTAATACTTCGTTTTTTGGTTATTTCGTTTCTTTTTTTTACAACTACAATTTAAATATGTTGTCACTTTTGAAAAAAAATGCTATCACTTTTGAAACAAATTCTTGATCCAAATTAGGAAATCTTTATATGTTTACAAATTCCTAATTTTATGTTTACCCTTAGAATGTTTTTAATTAGAGTGATTTCATTCTCAAACTAGATCAAACCAAATCATACTTTAATAATAATACGAGTATAGGACACATAAAATGTAAAACAGACATCTTCCAGATAATATTACTTCAGGCCAAATCAAACCCGAAATTTTTAATTCAGTTAAAAATGTCCTTATTAATGAAGTTTACAATGTGACAAAATAATGAGTAAACTGTAAAAACACCAATTTTTTACATTTTCAATGTAGTGAAATAATGAGTAAAATAAAAGATCTCACTATTAAAATTTAAAAATATATTTTTTATACCAAGTTGAATGAGAAATATTAGAAAAATATTATTTTGAATGCTCAATAAAGTTATCTAGACGTTCATATGAAATAATGAGTAAAATGTAAAAAAAATCCATTTTTTTTACATTTTCAATGTGACGAAATAATGAGTAAAATGTAAAATCTTACTATTAAAAGTTAAAAGTATGTATATTCCATATTTCATACCAAGCTGAATGAGGAATATGAAAAAAAAATTGAGGTACATAATAAAGTAATTTAGAGGATGTGAGATTAATTAAGAAGCTTCTTTGTGAATTCTTTAAAATTGGATTCACAAAATTATGTTTAGTTGAGATGCTTGTGTAGAAGAACATTTTAAATATTTTTCATATAATTGTTTCTTTATTTTATAGATGGATTTTTTTTCATGATTTAGAAGATTCCTCTCATTCATTCCATTCAACTAAAATTTAATCAATTTTAGTAAAATAAGTCGATTTCACCAATTTTAGTATTATCAAACAAACTCTATATTTAGACTGGGTGTATTTCACTTTTGCATCACATTATATATGATTTCATAAAAAATCAAATTCAAAAAATTGTTAAATTATGTACTGCCTGTGCATGGCACGGGCTTGAAACCTAGTTTGATACATAAAGTAACAGATTATAAGGGTAATTTGTGTTGATCTAATGAATAAGAACTGAGACAATAATATGGGCACGAAGGGAGTGACAGTAAAAAAAATAACTTTTTTACAAAACATGTAATTTTTTATTTGTCGCGCTGAATTGTTTAGGACTCGTTCTACCAGAAACCCTGTTCACAAGGAGAGAGTAATCCCAAAAAAAAGTTACGGTAAAAAATCATCCAAGACCTAAAGGAAGCAAGGTTACTTTAACTAAAGTTACTGTATAAAATCATTTTAGTTATTTTTCATATAGTTTTTTCCTTTAATTAATAAACTATAGTTTACATACAATTTTTTAGAAATCGAGCCAGTAACTTCAGGTCTTCAGCTAGAACTTGAGAATAATAAGTTAATGTACTCGGTAACCGATGTGAGTATTATCAAAGGCTTTTATGGTAAAAGTGTGTTTCTCTCCCGAAAAATGCTAGAGGTACACATTTTTGTACACGTTTGGTGTACACTTATCTGTCCTTCACAGACAAGTGTACACCAAACGTGTACAAAAAACGTGTACCTCTAGCATTTCTTTTCTCTCCCTGGCTTACTTGACTGAAAGGTAACGAAATGTTAACATGACTTTAATCAGTGATCACGCTTCCCGCCTGAGAAGCAAGAGCTTTAATGGGATTTGTATGCCTAGTTAGTTAAATACGGTACGGGAATTAAAATAGGTTTAATACGTACACGCACGCGTTTTATTCGGTAACATGAATGAAAAAAATAGTCAAAAATCGTTGACTTTTAAAAAACGTGTGAATACGTATACGTGTATAATACGCGTTGTATATTACAAAAATTCGGACGAAAAAAACGGGTATTATTTTGAACATTTAAATGATATATTTCATAAAATAACATATATAGTAAAAAAGAAATAAAAGTATACACATATTCAAGTAGCAAATCTCATTAAATTACTACATACAAGAATAGTTCGTAATTGCATAAGTCGATGACAAAAATAAAAACAGTAATTAAGTCCAAGACATAATTTTGAAAAATAATGTCAAAAAATCATTATCTTTATGTGATTATCAAATAACACTCAAGTTAAACTCATCATTTTCATTAAGATGACAGACGACACATGACAAAAGTTGTGTGATTGCTACACTTAATATTGTTTGTGTAAAAGTTTATGCTAAAAAAACGGTAGGTTTAGAAAAATCTTAATTTTGATATGCTAGCTTGAAAAAACATCAGAAATCTTGTAGTATATTACTACGTAAGTTTTAGTATTTCAGGATGCTAGCTTTAGCCATCATGCAATTAATTTTAGTATTTAATAATTGCATTGTAACAATACAAAAAAAAGAGATCATGGGGAGGACGTTTTCATTTTTACTTTTACACTATTATTGATCTTCTATGCATTTAGTGCATTCATTCAATTGGTCAATTCATGTTTATGTTTTGAGTAAAATACGAGAAAAATACGTTTTGTACGGGAAGTAGGAGTTTTTTTCCTTTTTAAGCGGACCGACATTTCTCCTCTTTTTAAACGTGTTTTTTGGTCAAAAAACGGTACGTGTTTAAAACGCGTTTAAAACGAAAAAAAACTAACTAGGTTTGTATGTAATGTAATTTCTTGGTAGCAACGTGCAATTCGTGACCATATCTTAGTTTCGAGTTTATTTTTGCTTATCTTTATCCACATCTAATATTAATACATTATAATTATTATGACAATAAAATAGCATTATCTCATAGATTAATGTTGTATACTTGTATGCGTGTATGGATAGTACAGAAGTACTCATTAGAAAAACAATTATAAATGGACATACTTACTACTCCGTACTAGTTATGCAGTTACGTAGAAAGGGCCTATCTAACAAATAATCTTCCACCAGAAGTATATATATTTTCCAGTCATCATTGGCCCGGTGTTTTGTGTGCTACTGATAGATTTCTAGCTGCTTCTCTGTCAATCAACAATATGAATTTTTTTCTGCATCAATATTGAGATCGATCGCTCCCCTCTTGAACCACTACCGATCTAGAAAGATGAGATGACATGAAGCGTTTTCTTTCCGGTGACTGGTGAAACCAGAACAAATTCTGCACTTGGCTCCTCACCGGTGGCTGGCAAAACCGGGAAATTCAATAGTTCCTTTACGGTGTTTGGTTAAACCGGATCTATTTTAAGTAGCATGATCAGTCAGACTGTTGTACTAGTCTACATCGTTGCAAGGTTAGCGAAAAGAGTGCTTTTATGAGTCTTTTTTGTTGTTTGTCTCGCCCTAGTGTAGCTTTGAACGTTGATTGTAATGTTTTGACTTTTGATTGTTATGTTTTTCGATAACTTTATATAAAAAAAACCTTTATCAATAATAAATAAAATTATTTCTTTTCAAAAAAATTGTCTAAATAATAACCGCACAAGAACAAAAAACGATACTCATGTAGTCATATACTAAAACTATACAAAATGAAAGATACATTTTAATTTGTGATAGAGTTTTTTTCATTTTTGTCCCCGATTTAAGTGGCAGGGATATATTTATTCATTTAAAAAGTGATTTTTCGGGTTCTGACTTAAAAAAAAATTGAAATAAGTGTTTTCAAGTGATAACTTCTGTTTAAACTAAACACTTAAATGCTAAAAGTTAGATACTGTTTTTTACTTTCTCTATTATACAAAAGATACATATTTTATCAAATATCACCAACTTTTACTTTTCAAAATCAAATTTTTTCTCAAACATTATCAACTTTTAGAATATTTTCTTTTAGACTGAAATTTATTGGTCTAACCTGAACTAGTCTGTTAAACGTCTAATCTCTGTATAATTTATAACTGCAGATTTCTAATCAGATCTGGTCTGATCTGGTGTGGGACCGAAACAGTCCAAAAGAAAATCCTTACTATTTGGTCATTTTTAACATGTGATGCTTGGTGTCAAAAAAAACATGTGATGCTTTTTGAAGGTCAAAAGAGTAATTTTATTTGCACAATTCCTTCCTGCTAGACCTGTGCCGTAGCATAGAAGAACATCCGAAATTCAAGTTACAGTGCCGCCAAGAAGGACGCCTCTTTCGCCGCCAGCCCGCCGCCCCGCCCCGCCTGGCTCTCTGTCAAAGAACAAAAATCCAGGACAGCGCGACTGAAGTTCCCCACACAGACTACGCAGTCACGCGGCTCGCCGCCTCACCGCCTCAGTGCCTCACTGCATCACCGCCAACTGGTCACGGACTCACGGACCTTGGTAGTCGGTAAGATTATGTGATTTTATGAATTTTCTATTTTCAATTCCAAATTAGGGTGTTTTTACTTGTTTATTTATTGAAAAATGAAGCAATTTAATTGATAATTGTATTTAACAACTAAGAAATTGCTATATTCAAGAATCAAAATCGATGAATTAGCTAACCAAAAGCAGGAATTCTAAAGAAAAGAATAGAATTCGAACATAGCAGATGAATATAATATAGAAAGCATCGGGAAGAAGATGATGATTTTATTCAAGCTGCTTGTAAAAGTATATAACTGAGCTTATTTATACAACTCCCGTGCCAGTCAACGTTTCAACTAATCAGTTAGTAACAACTAACTAACTAAGCCCAATTCTAAATCTGTATACAATAGCCATGTAGACTACAATTCTATCCATGGCCTGCCACGTGTACTATCTAGATTATTCATAACAATCCACCCCTTAAGATGAAGCTTGCCCACAAGGTGCAATAGAACACTTTACAAAATCTGGGAATCTTTTGACCAAGTCTTCATATCTTTCCCAAGTAGCATCTTCCTTGCTCCCATTCATCCATTGTACTAGCCAGTACACTGCTGCACCATTTCCCACTTTAGCTATCTTTCTCTCTAATACTGCAAATGGTTCCACACTCATCATTCCACTGTCATTTATATTTGGGAGAGTATAGCTTGTAGGAGGATCACCATAATGTTTCTTCAGCTGGGACATGTGGAAAACAGGGTGTATTTTTGCATGATCAGGCAATTTTACTTTGTATGCAACTTGTCCCACCCTTTTTATAATCTCAAATGGTCCAAAGAACTTGGGAGATAATTTTTTATTACTCCGGTAAGCCACGGACTGCTGTCTATAAGGCTGCAGTTTGATATACACCCAGTCCACTTCTCTGAATTCCTTATCAGTCCGCCTTTTGTCAGCTTGAATCTTCATCCTATCCTGTGATCGTTTGAGATGAAACTTTAGCATCTGAATACATTCTTCTCTAGCACTTAAGTTGCGATCCACTGCTTCCACTGGGCTGTCTCCCTTGATGTAAGGAAGGTGTATGGCTGGTGATTGACCATATACAACTTCATAAGGAGTTCTGCCTATAGAGGAGTGATAATTGGTATTGTAACACCATTCAGCCAAGGGAATCCATTTGGCCCATTCTTTTGGATTCTCTCTTGTCATGCATCGTAGATAAGTTTTCAGGCATTTATTGACTACCTCCGTTTGGCCGTCTGTCTGAGGATGGTATGCAGTAGATAGTCTCAACTCTACTTGCTGAAGTTTGAAAGTTTCTTGCCAAAACTTGCTTAGAAAGACTTTATCTCAATCACTGATGATAGTTTTAGGCAGTCCATGGAGTTCAAAAACATGTTCAAAGTATTCCCTTGCTACAGTGCTAGCTTCAAATGGATGAGCAAGTAAAATGAAGTGGGCATACTTGCTCAAACGATCCACCACAACCAGTGTAGTGTCTTTTCCCATGGACTTAGGTAACCCCTCTATGAAATCCATAGAGATATTCACCCAGATAGCATCAGGAATTGGTAGGGGTTGCAAAAGACCTGCAGGGGCTTCTAATAGGGGTTTATTCTTTTGGCAGATGGTACAACATCTGATAAAATTTCTTATGTCTTTCTTCATACCCTTACAGTAGAAAAGAGCTTGGATCCTCTTGCATGTGGCTTGATTTCCGGAATGTCCCCCTAGGGCAGAACTGTGTAGGTTCTGAATAATTTTCTTTCTTAAGCATGCATCTTCTCCTACCATCAGCTTTCCTTTTCTTAACATCTTATCTTGTGAGAAAGAATACTTCTTTACAGCATTAGGTTCTTCTTTCAATTTCTTGACCAACTCTGCAGTTCTTCCCAATTCCCAGCTTTTTTGTATTTTGTCCAAGAGGTCAGATTGTACTTCAGTCAGTATCATACTGATCAATTCCCTATTTCCCAGCCTGGAAACTGCATCTGCAGCAACATTCTCTTTACCCTTTCTATACTCAATCTCATAATCCAGTCCCATGAGTTTAGGTAGGCATTTACTCTGGAATGGTGTGATGATTTTCTGTTCCAGTAGATATTTTAGACTGAAGTGATATGTTTTAATGATGAAACGATGCCCAATCAGGTATGCTCTCCACTTTTCTACAGTTAGGATTACTGCCAGCAACTCCTTTTCATATGTGGAGAGGCTTTTATTCTTCTCAGACAGAGCCTTACTTAAATAGGCTATTGGATGCTGATTCTGAGAAATGATAGCCCCAATTCCTTTGTCTGAGGCATCAGTTTCTATGACAAATGGCTGTTGGAAGTCTGGTAAAGCCAGCAGTGGGACTTCACTCATGGCCCTTTTGAGTAGTATAAAGGCTTGCTCAGCCTCCTTATTCCAGATAAATGCATTTTTCTTTAACAAGCTGGTTAAGGGTTTGCTTAAGATCCCATAGTTCTTGATGAATTTTCTGTAATAGCAGTCAAGTCAAGCCTAGAAATCCTATTAAACCCTTGATGTTCCTAGGTATTGGCCAGGTCTGCATTGCTTCAATTTTCCTAGGATCAGTAGATACTCCACCTTTGGATATGATATGCCCCAAGTATTCAATCTCTTTCACCCCAAATATGCATTTGCTCCTTTTTGCAAATAATTCATTCTGTCTCAGCACTTCCATAGTCATTTGTAAGTGTTTCAAATGCTCTGTCCAAGTTGAACTGTAAATAAGGATATCATAAAAAAACTAATATGAATTTCCTCAAATAAGGCTGAAATATACAGTTCATCAGACTCTGAAAAGTAAGGGGCATTAGTGAGTCCAAAAGACATCACTAGAAATTCAAAATGCCCAACATGGGTTCTGAATGCTGTTTTTTCTATATCTTCTTCCCTCATTCTTATTTGTCAATAACCAGATCTCAAGTCTATTTTAGAAAATACACTAGACCCATGCAATTCATCAAGTAACTCATCAATGATTGGGATTGGAAACTTATCTTTTATAGTCTGCTTGTTGAGCTCCCTATAGTCAACACAGAACCTCCACCCTCCATCTCTCTTTTTTATCATAACCACGGGTGCAGAAAATGGACTTTGGCTGGGCCTGATGATGCCATTGTCCAGCATTTCTTAGGTTATTCTTCAATAGCATCTTTTTGGATCACCGGATACCTGTATGGCCTTACATTAATAGGGGTAGTTCCTGGTTTGAGATGTATTTTATGATCATGCTTTCTATGTGGGGGTAGTTGTTTTGGTTCTTCAAAGATGTCTGCATAGGAGTGAAGAGGCTGATCTAACTCTTTCAGTTGGGATTCCTTGTCCTTTGCATTGCCATGAGTAACCTGGTCTGAATTTTGACTCACTTGAATCACCAGTAATTGCCCATGCCCACTTTTGTTTTCTTTATATATCTCCTTGATACTTTGACTTCCAGTCATCCAGCTAAGGTTGCCCTTTTTACTGCCTCTCAGAACCGTTCTCCTTCCCAAGTAATTGAATTCCATAATAAGATCTTTGAAATTCCAATTAATCTGCCCCAGGGAAGTTAGCCACTGAATTCCCAGAACCATTTCACAACTTCCTAGGGGGACCAACATAGTGTCAGCTACAAATTCTTGCCCATGTAGATTCCACTTGAACTTTTGGCAAGTCAGGTCTATGAAGATCTTTTCACCATTGGCAACTGACACTTCCAAAGGACAGGATTTAGAAATTCTACAACCCAATTTCTTAGCAATTTGAAGGTCTAGGAAGTTATGGGTACTCCCAGAATCAATCAAGATGTGCAGATCATGTTTTCCCAGTTCCCACCTTCCCCACTACTCTCATGGTGTGAAAGTTTGGATGACCAGATAGGGCATTCAAAGAGATTAAGGGAGGTTCATCACCTTCCTCCGGATACTCTTGATAGCATGTTTCAATGTTGTCTGGTTCCTGAGTTCCCATTTCTTCTGCTCTTGATTCTACATCTTCTTCTTCCATGATAGGCAATATTTGAATTTTGTATATCTGTGCCTTGAAGGTGTGGCCTGGAGCATATTTTTCATCACAATGAAAACACAAGTTTTTCCTTCTTCTCTCTTCAATGTCCAAAGAAGATAAGGGCTTCTTCTTAGGTTCCATGATGTTTCTGCCTTGAGGGTTTACAGGTTTAGGGAGTAACCCATTTGCCTTGGACTGAAATCCTGGTATATAATTATACCCAAATTTAGTTTGATTTTCTCCATTTCTGAAAGTAGGTCTATCAACATAGTTTCTTCCTACTTTCTTCAAGGCTTCCAGACTATTTTCTTGCAACCTGGCATACTCCATAGCTTGCAACAGAGTTCTTGGTTTAAAGGCCTTAACAAAATGTTTTATAGTAGGGTTAAGACCCCCTATAAAACTGTCCAAGAAAAATTCATCTGGCAATCTCTCGATTCTTTGCAACATCAGACCTTTGAGACTCAAACTTATCCATATAATCATCTAGAGAGTTAATTTGTTGCAGCTTGTTGAGATCTTCTACCACAGACCCACCCATTTCTTCATTAAACCTGGCACATATATCAAGAACAAACTGCTCCCATACAATATTTTTGTGCACAATACATAGCCATTAAACCATGCCTCAGCTCTTCCAGTTAAGTATAAAGAAGCAAGGTCAACCTTCTGATTATGCTCAACTTTACACAAGTCAAAATATCTAACACATTTTTGTATCCAACTTCTAGGACATACTCCATTGAAAAGAGGAAACTCAATTTTAGGGGAAAATCCAAGAGTTCTAGAGTGATTACTCCAATTACCGTTTATAGCTGCATGTTCTTGGATAGAATGACTGTGAATTGAATGATTGGAATGAGCTGAGTGAGCATCCTCTTCGTCTACCTTTTTCTGTAATAAGAGTAGCATCGCATCCAATTTCTGTTGTGTTTCAGCAAATTTGAGTTCATTTGTGCGATTCTGCTCTTCCAATTGCCGTTCCAATCCAGCCACCTTATCCTCCATGATTATTGAAAGAGCTGCTGCCGTAAGTTTCTTCGCCAGATTTCTCTGTAGAAATTGACGGAAAGGATTAGGATACCAATTGCTATATTCAAGGATCAAAATCAATGAATTAGCTAACCAAAAGCAGGAATTCTAAAGAAAAGAATAGAATTCGAACATAGCAGATGAACAGAATATAGAAAGCATCGGGAAGAAGATGATGATTTTATTCAAGCTGCTTGTAAAAGTATATAACTGGGCTTATTTATACAACTCCCGTGCCAGTCAATGTTTCAACTAATCAGTTAGTAACAACTAACTAACTAAGCCCAATTCTAAATTTGTATACAATAGCCATGTAGACTACAATTCTATCCATGGCCTGCCACGTGTACTGTCTAGATTATTCATAACAGAAATTGGTATCAGTGTGTAGTATGTTATAAAAAATTTGATTCAGACTTTCAAAATTTTGATGTCCAGGCCTCTACAATCTCTTATACGGAGCAGTTTGTTGTAAGGTATTTTGTTTTTGTTCTTTAATTTGTTTCAGTTCTTTGCTCTTCCATGTCCATAAAACCTCCACCTTTAACTACAATATTTAAGAATTGGACTTTGAGTGGTATCAAGAACTCTCAATGCTGATTTTTCAGTATTTCTCATTTTCTTACGAAAAATATCAAATAAAATAAAGTATATGGAGCATTTGTATCCCTTCGATACGGTACAGTATTTGTTTCAATCAGGATATTGATTAATCTATTCAATTTTAATCATATAGCTCACTCATTTCTAATAGACATATTCAAGGAATGATTAAACTATAAAGAAAAGAGATTAATTAAATTTAATTATAACTATAATGGTTTTCAATTGTAATAGAAATATGGTCGAAGAATATACATTCATGGATTCAAACTCTTACGGAGTACTCCATATATATTAAGGCCCCTTGTTTAATTCTGTCTGTACAGGGGCCTCAAATTTGAGAGGACTGGCCCTGCTCTCTCTTTGTATCATCTTCCTCCACAAAACATAAAATACCAGAGCCACAGATAACAGTCATTCACATGGCTTGTGCTAACCAATTCCTGAGAACCTTCATTCTTAACGGTGCCTCCCTATGGCAATTCTCTCCCGCACTCCTCCGAACGTATACAGTCCCAGCGCTCACTCCTCTTCACTCTCACCGGCGGCACAGGCTATTTTGCTTCATATCCTCGCAACTTACGCCTCGGCCCGAGAATGAGTCAGATAAACGGAGGCGGGACAACGTGGTGGAGATTTTGGAGGAAAGGGGTTTGCTAGAGTCTGTCACTAGTGAAAACATCAGGTCGATTTGCTCCGACCCGAATCACCCTCCTCTCAAAGTCTACTGTGGTTTTGACCCGACTGCAGAAAGTCTCCACCTTGGGAACCTTCTCGGTCTTATTGTTCTCTCATGGTTCCTTCGTTGCGGCCATAAAGCTGTCGCTCTTATTGGTGGAGCCACTGGCCGCATTGGTGACCCGTCCGGCAAGAGTTTAGAGCGCCCCGATCTCGACTATGCTAAGTTGAATCAGAACATTGCCGGAATTTCAGCTAACATTCGTCAGATACTAGTAGCGTCGCCAAATTCATCTAACCTTGAGGTTCTAGATAACTATGCTTGGTGGAAAGATGTGAAATTTCTAGATTTCTTGGGTGATGTAGGAAGGTTAGCAAGGGTTGGTACTATGATGTCCAAAGAAAGTGTGAAGAAGAGATTGGAAAATGCAGAGGAAGGAATGAGCTACGCAGAGTTCTCCTACCAGTTGCTGCAGGGTTATGATTTTGTGCATTTGTTCAAAAAGGAAGGCGTCACTGTTCAAATCGGCGGCAGTGATCAATGGGGAAATATTACCTCAGGAACGGACCTTATCCGCAGGGTAATAGGAAAATCCTCTGCATCTCACGTGGCTTATGGCTTGACATTCCCGCTTCTCCTCAAGAGTGATGGGACCAAGTTTGGGAAATCTGAGGAAGGAGCAATATGGCTGTCCCCTTCACTTGTGTCGCCATACAAGTTTTATCAATATTTCTTCTCAGTTCCGGATTCTGATGTTGTGAGGTTTCTGAAGATCCTTACCTTTCTGAGCATTCAAGAGATTGAAGAGGTCAGGCTCCAAATGGGGAAGCTTCCCAATACGGCACAGCGCAGGTTGGCTGAGGAGGTTACACGGTTTGTTCATGGGCAAGAGGGGCTGGAGGAGGCTCTTAAGGCGACAGAAGCACTGAGGCCAGGCAATGCAGATCCTAGGTTGGAGTGGAAGACCATTTCTGGAGATGTTCCATCTTGTTCATTGCCTTTTGATCAGGTTTTGAATGTTCTGCTTTTGGATCTTTCGGTTTCCAGTGGGTTGCTGGAGAGTAAGTCTGCCGCGCGGAGGATGCTTAAACAAGGAGGGCTTTACTTGAACAATGTTCGAGTTGATAGCGAGGCTAAGAAGATTGAGGAGGAGGATATTGTAGATGGAAAATTTCTGCTGCTGTCGGCTGGAAAGAAGAACAAGATGGTTGTGAGAATCTCCTGAGTCAGCCATACAGCCCGCTTCTTGTATACTTTAAATTCTTTTTTTCAAAATTCCATTTGTGTGCAAAGACATAATTATTTTATAGATCATTAAAGCAGGTAAAACCTTGGGTACCTGAGTTCTACTACTTGCATGAGTTATATGGTATCAGACCGCTGTTCACTCACAATCTGTTGTTTAGTGCATTTTTTCCTCAAACAGATTGGTGGGACTGCCGATGGATATCAATTCACAAGCCTCGCGTGGGAAGAAGACCCTACACTCCAGTAAGCTAATTACCTTGACCATAACATCATTCTACACATTCATATCTACCTGTTTCATCTTTAATAGGTTGCTATAAAGGACCTCATTTCATATAAGCAATAAGTCTGCATAATAGACATGTGATGCTTTTTAGAATAAGTCTGCAATTTAATAACAAGTAAATAGCAATAAGTCTGCAAGCTAATAACAAGTGTTAGAATATGTGTTCCTCATAGCCGGAAAGGGAGGTTAATGTCCTTCTTTCTGTTCGAATTTAAACCCCAAGTACGATTCCAAGTTCCGATCTACCTTTTTAAAGATAAGCTTATCACTCTACCAATTATCCTTCTGGGTGTGCTTATGACATCAATTTCATATATGATATAAATAAATATAAAAATTATATACGCAGTATGTATATATATATATATATATATATATATATATATAAACCCGGAAGGCAAATCACCGCATCCAGTGGGGCAAATGGCGGGGAACATTTGTTGTTATTTTATTAAAAAGAATTGATTACAAAAAGAGAGGGGGACCAAACCAAAACCTCCCTTAATATAGACTGACAAGTAAACGAAATTTTTGGGGGACTAGGCCTGACCCAAAATTGAAAATAAAACAACAATTAGAAAATATATCTGAAGGAAGGGAAACAAAAACCGAACCGCTTTCCTCTTTGCACGCAGCAGACTTTCCTGAAAACCCATCTAGCCGCACCACCATCTTCAAGATATCTCCACGCCACAGCAGCATCCATTTCAACCAAGAAGTCCGAGTACCCTTTTGAGATCGCATAGTCCGTAGCATACAACGCCGCTGATATCTCAGCTTCAAGCGACGATTGAACTGAAAGAGGGAAAGAGATAGCAAACAGCATGACCCCCTCTACGTTCCTTAAAATCGCACCGCCAGAGGCTTCTCCAGACTCCAGGTAAAAATTTAGCATCTGTATTGAGCTTAGAACTACCAATGGGCCGTTTCCATTTCACAGCCTTGAAATAACCTCCTTTGAGCTCGAAATTAGGGGGAATAAGTTTCTCTTCATAAAGTATATCACCTATTTCTCGAATCTTAAAATTAGAAAAGCTGGTGACCCAATTCTGAGTATATAATTTGATTTGTGCGATTATGGACTCAGATGAAGGAACACTGATAGCCGAACCCCAGATAAATTGTATATGCAGTATATACTTATATGTATATTAGTGATGATGAAAGAAATAATGAAGAACTTGAGGTTGTGGGTTATGTAACATTATCTGGGCAAGGAACTAGATCATTACCTGGCATATCTTTACTGCCGGCCATTGATGGTAATGCAGACTTTTATGAGGTTTCTCACAAGTATGCCATTGGGACTTACATTTGCAATTAAACTTTTTTTTGCATATTGTATTCCTTCTTTTTTTGGGTGCAATTGTATTCCTTTTCTGTAACAACAACAATGACATTACCCCGGTGCCGCAAAGGCCCCCACATACGGTGGGGTAAGGAGGTCGGATGTACGTAGTCTTACCCTTGTCCTAAAGCACAAAGAGACTATTTCCGGATAAACTATGATGTAAATCAGGTCGATATTTGCATGAACCAACCGGTGCTTCATAACAAAGAAGTGCATACAGTTTATTGAGTCATTTTGCTTCATATCCCAAACCCAAAAATAGCGAGTCTTTAGTTCCATTGGTAATGATGGAAATTATTCATTTTCTGTAAATAAAAAAGAAAAGAAAACTGCAGTGAGGTCCGGTGAGGAATGATAATGTTTAAAAGAAAAGAAAACTGCAGTGAGGAAATTATTCTTTTTCTCTTTACATATATTTTTAGTCTCTCCAAGTGTAATATTTTATATCACTGTAAAATTATTTTTCTATTTATAGTGTTTAACGATACTCATCCTTTTTGTTTAAGGCTATGTATGTTGTTTTTCTTTTTTAGTCTACCACCGATCGTAATTCGTTACAAACTCCCTCTAATAACTCTACTTAATAGATATCTTTTTTTTTAAAAAAAGATGCTTAATAGATATCTTATCATTAGTTTTCATATCATTTCAAAAAGTGCGTAAACTTTTTTCTAGAGGGACATTAAAATTAATCAGCATTAGTTTTATACGTAGTATTGTTTTAAACATAGGTTATATGTTTAACTATGTCATTGGATGACAGTGGGAATCTAATTTTAACTAACTCGGATTTACCACTCTGAAAAATTTGGGATGAATTTTTCAGAGCACAAAGTTTGATAAAGTTGGGATCAATTCGTACTAACAAAAATACTTATCATTAGATATATAAATATTTTGTTACGTATTTGTGTTTATAGAATATAATTACCAAGGATCCAAGCAATTGAGGCATGCTAAAAATGTTATTGATCAATCTTTTATAAACATCCGATAAGCAAACACATTAATTGATAGCATAGCTTTACAAATCAAAATTTTCACATTATAATTACTAATTTTTAATTTACACACTATTGTTTAGAAAAAATGAGTATGAAATCATTAAATGTCTGATTGTAGAGAAATGTAAGCTACACCTTGTTATCTTATATTATTATAGAGGACTATTATTATTAACAATATAACTATTATTAATAATAATATAACTATTATTATTATTACTATAACTATTATTGTATTGCAAGACAATAATAATGATGTTTTTAATCAGACCAAAGTTCTATGATTAGGTCCGTTTAAGTTTGGTCTGATGACCTAAACTGATCTGGTATGGTAAGTGCCAGATGTATGTATATTTTACTTACTTATTCTGATCTGATCAAGTCTATTGTATTTAAATTTGATCTGATTTGATGTAGTTTCATTTAATCAGATCTGGTCTAGCTTATAATTGAAAACATTCAAATCAAAAAATTGTAAACGTTCTGATTTTTTTTGCGTTCAGTGAACTCCCGCTAATTATTTATTACTATTATTATTATTATTATTATTATTATTATTATTATTATTAATACTACTACTATTAGGGAAAAACAATAACAATACCCCACACTTTGAAGGGGAGTGAGGTAAACACCCCAACTTGCATATATAATTTAAATACCCCAAACTTTATATAAAAAGTTTTTTTCGCACCATTGTCATGTATTATTTTTTTCAAAAATGTAAATTTATGGGGTTATTGCATAATTTAAAATAGCAAATTAAAAGTGTTGCAATTGTATAAATTGGGGATAACATTATTTATTTCACAATAGAAGTTTAGAATGTTAATTGTGTCTTCATGATTTCTAAAATATTTTAAATGATGCAGTTAACACCATAAATTTAATTTTTTTAAAGAAATAATACTTGACTATGGTGCTAAAATATTTTTTTTAATATAAAATTTGGGGTATTTAAATTACATATGCAAAATTGGGGTGTTCATCTCACACTCTTTCAAAGTTTGGGGTATCTTAATTATTTTCCCCTTATTATTATTACTGTTATTATTATTATTATTATTATTATTATTATTATTATTATTATTATTATTATTATCATCATCATCATTATAAATATCATTTTGAATTGAAAATATTCCAATTACTCCAATATTCATATAACTCTTATTTTTTAATGGGTATGAAACATTAAATATCTAATTGGAGGGAAAAGCAATGTGCTACACCTTGTTACTTTATATTATTATGGATAGATAGATAGATATCTAATTGGGGGAAAAAGCAAGGTGCTACACCTTGTTACTTTACATTATTACAGATAGATTATAGATAGATATTCATATAACTCTTATTTTTTAATGGGTATGAAGCATTAAATGTCTAATTGGAGGGAAAAGCAAGGTGTTACACCTTATTACTTTATGTTATTATAGATAAATATTCATGTGACTCTTATTTTTTATTGGGTATGAAACATTAAATGTTTAATTGGAGGGAAAAACAAAGTGTTACACCTTGTTACTTTTTATTATTATAGAAGATATTCGTGTAACTCTTATTTTTTTAATTTTTTTAATGGGTATGAAGCATTAAATATGTAATTGGAGAGAAAAACAAAGTGTTACACCTTGTTACTTAATATTATTATAGATAGATATTACTCAGGGGTATATACAAAGGGGGACAAGGGGGCAATTGCCCCTCAAGCCCCTACCCAACTTCAATATATATAGAATTTTTATTTATATACATGGTTGTGTGTGAAATTTAAATATATGAATAACTAATGTCCCAAAAGTTTTAAAACCTTTTCCTAGTCCAGTGGTATGAAACCCAATTTTGTTCGAATCCCTTTGGCTTTTCCACAATCCTGATTCTATTTTTGCACTTTTAATGTTTAAAAGGGTTTAAAAGAATTTTAATTAATCAAAAAATTATTTTACCAAATAGTTTATTAGTACTTACAGAGTTACAGTTACATATTTGCACATAATATAGACAAACTGGCAAAGTTTTTGACAACATATCAACTCTCTACTTAAATTAATTTTTAGTCCATACCTTATGAGTTCCTTGTGTCCTTTCCATCATTTGAAATGGAGCCAAAAACTCACTATTTTTTTGGTTTGGTAATATAATAGAATAAAACAAAATGATTCACTTAACTGACTGCGCTTCTTTGATATAAAACAATAGTCAGTCAATGCAATTTTTTTTTCACTATGGGTCTTCTGGTAACAGTCTCTCTGTGTTTTAAATTTATTTCATGAAATTGTAATTATCGACAATGAAATATTTCCCTCAAAAGAAATGTGAAGATAAATTTTTAGTGAAAAGTGATAATATTTTGTTATAGAACAAATAATTTTAAATACAATTTAAGTTTACCTTAGATTATGTTATCATATTGTGGTCCGATGATTATGAAATGTGTGATACGGAGTAATATTTTAGTACTAATTCACCCCCTAAAGAAAAATCCTGAATAACCCATTGATCGTATTACTTATCCAAATGTGAAGGAATCGAAAAATAAGTGAAAATATCCCGTTTGTCCACTTTTTCTAATTCCATTTCATTTATGTCAGTTGATAATTTGTTTTTTATTTAGAGGCTTGTGCGTTTTCACTTTTATTTTTTTTAATTTCAAAAATAACATAACTCCTATATCAAAACCAAGTCTATCTGCCACCTCAGTCTTGTTCGTCCATCCTCATAACCTATTGAACTGAAGCAGAGCGACTGTGCGGCTGTTCTCCTCCCATCAGCTTCACCTTCAAAGTTCAACCTCCGTGACTCTGTCCTCCTTGTTCCTGATGGCCTCACCGTGAATCAACCTGAAGCGCCTAAGTACAAAAGTCAGAGACGTGCACGATCGTTCCCCGCCCGGCTCCACCCTTGCCTGCTCCGTTGACTGTTGCATGACTCCATTGTTGCTTTCCGATTTGCATGTATGTGTGACTGTGTGAGATTTTGAGAGTTTTACTTTCATTCTAATTGTTGTTATAATTCATATAGTTAGGATTTATGTCTGTTTCCGATTCAGTTTTGTTTCACTTTCTGCTTTATTTTTGTTATAATTTACTTTCAGTTTTAAGATCCGCAACCACATGACACACATGAATTTCATATTGGAGTATTTATTGAAATAATATACTAATGGTATCCCCTCACGTTTGAGTCAATCAAAACTCAAAAATCATGTGTCCATGTACGATTGTTCAGAGTATAACACGAGAGCATTTGATGTATTTTTAAAAATACAAGGGCAAAACGCTTAATTTATATATCACGAGAGAATTTGATACATTAAACCCGTATATAAACATATAGGCTCACATTGAAAAACAGACACGCGGGCACACATATTATGTGTGTGTGTGTATATATAGAATGACCTAAAACAATGCACATTGTGGTTTATGGTGGCCCATACTTATAGTTAAGATAATGCACAGTTCAAATGAGTCGAAAAATTAGAACTTATTACAAAAATGTCACCATATTAGTGGACTCATGATAATGCACAATTCTCAAGTCTAACACTCTAGAATTATTCTTATTTCTCTTTTAAGATTGTATTATCATTTGATCCAAATTCTATACACATACATATATATATACAGTCATACACTGATAGTCTGATACACTATATCAATGTTACAATGTTTAATTGTAACATTGGTTCAACACTTCAATTGTTGATTTGATTGTGCTATTAGCCGAGTAGATGAGTAAAATTATTGATAAACCATATTTCAAAGTGAAGATGTTATCATTAATGCATTTTTAAATATACACGTTAATGCATCCTAATGGTTTCTTTTTAATTTATTTTACACATTAAATTTCTTTTGCCCTCATGGAGTTTAATGTTCCTACCATCATGCATCCCTAATATTGCTTCTGTCACCACAATTCAGATCTAAATGTCACAAAACTTCTTTTAATAGAAATGGCTCAATATAGGACCAAAAATAGTACAAACTATGTCTTATCCCCAAATAGAACTTATTTAGTTCTATAAAAAGAATAAGTTGATTAAAATTTCCCACAATATGAGTGAATGAGTCATATTTGAGGAATAAAACAACGATAGTCTGCGTAAATCATCAAAATTAGTGGTGTGAGTCTCGATTGTCATTTACCAAGTATTATTAATAATAGCGAAAAAGAAATTTACACGGGAATAAAATTGAAAACAATATGACAAAGCAAAATACAAAATGACATAATTAAATACAGATGTATGAAATGGGCACATAGTCTACGTGTAGGAGGTCTTTTACATGCACTCACGGAAGGCTCACTTTGAGGATTGAAAATACAAGGCTAAAGGGTCAAATAGGTACATGAACTAACTTAAAGTGTTTAATTAGCCCCTTATATAGGAGGTTCTGCCCGGCCGTGGCCAATTGGGGCGTTTCCCGGTGGAATTTTTTGATGAAATTTTTTGAGCATCTTCTTCATTAAATTTAGTTTACTCATATCAAATTTCAGCTAAAAATTAAATCGGGAAGGCAGTCAAATGATTTTTCAAAATGTACTACGTTGTTTACCTGCGCAGTTATCTTCAAAAAATCATTTGACTGCCTTCCCGGTTGAATTTTTAGCTGAAATTTGGTATGGATAAACTAGACTTAATGAAGAAGATGCTCAAAAATTTTCATAAAAAAATTCCACCGAGAACCGCCCCAATTGGCGACGGCCGGGCAGAACCTCCTATATAAGGGGCTAATTGAACATTTTAAGTTAGTTCATGTACCTATTTGACCCTTTAGCCAAAATACAATTTCGGTGATCAGTCCTTTGGCGAGATGGTGATCTAGCTACCGAATGAATTTTCTGCAACAATAAATCAGATTCAATTTTTTAGATTGGGTTTCAGTATCGATTTTTTTTTCTATAACCCGTGCTCTTAAGATGTCATGGAGCGAAAGTAGCACCATTTAATATATTTTCTACATTTTATGTAGTATAATAAAACCAAAAAATAAATAAAATTATCTTTTATCCCGTGCACGTCACAGATAAAAATACTAGTACTATATAATGTTTCAAGGGGTAAGATGAGGATGAGAGAAGTTTAGAAGCATATTTCAACGACAATTGTGTGGTTGAAGGGTATTTTAGATATTTGAATTATTTATTATTTATTATTCCTTCTGTCCCCCTACAATTGTCTCATCTATTCTTTTTGGTCAGTCTCACTGAGATTGTCTCACACCAAATATGATACAGTTTGTGTGGTTCAAAATAAATTGAAAAAATAAATATAAAATAATAAGGTATAGAGTATAAATATATATATATATATATAGCAAAAATATTTATATTTTTCGGTTAGTTCAAATTATGTATAGAAATACAATAAAGATGAAAAGATACTATACGTATATTTTTACATTAATAGTTTACTGGGAAAACTGTCAAATAGGTCCTAGAACTTTCATAAAAAGGTCAATATGTCCGGTCGTCGTGATTTGTGGCGGTTCCCAGTGGAATTTTTTGATACATTTTTTTTAGCATCTTATTCATCAAGTCTTGTTTACTCATACCAAATTTCAGCTAAAACTTCAATCGGGATCGCATTCAAATTTATTCTGAAAGATAACTGCACAATTGTCTTCAAGAATTAATTTGAATGTGTTCCCGATTGATGTTTTAGCTGAAATTTGGTATGAGTAAACTAGACTCGATGAATAAGATGCTCAAAAAAATTCATAAAAAATTCCATCGAGAGCCGCCCCAAATCGCGACGGCCGGACAGAGCCTCTTATATAAGGACTTATTTGACCTTTTTATGAAAGTTTGAGGACCTATTTGATAGTTTTCCCATAGTTTACTCTTACATTTTACACTACTCACTTGCTATATTTAACTACATTTAATTTATTAAAGGTATAGAAATGAGGAAGCGGTTCAGCTCAGCTGGTCGTCGACTCACTCTCCCTTACGGGAGTTCTCGGGTTCGAAAATCAATGGAGTGAGTTTCAGCCCTGATTACTCCAGACCCCCCCCCCCCACCACCACCACCACCACCAGCCCCCCTCGCCTAGATGCCTCCTGGAGTAAAAAAAGGTATAGGAATTTCATTTTTGAAAAGTATTGTTCAATTCATCTCATGTTAAAGTTTCAAAATCTGTTTTTTTTACAATTTTATTAATAGAGAATTAAATACATTAATGATTAAAATTGTGCATTAGTAAACGTGAAAATAGAAGTGTCGCCACTAAAAAAGAAAGAAGGAAGTATAATGCATACAAAAAATTACCAAATATAAAATATAAGTAAAATTAAAAATCACAAATAAAATTTAATGAAGGAAATATATGGAAGGACTCAAATAAACATTTAAGAGTGAACTGTTAATGTAAAAATATACATATAGTATCTTTTCATCTTTTTTATATTTTTGTATTGAATTTGAACTAACTGAAAAATATAAATATTTTGCCATAAATATTTATATACTCTATATCTTATTATTTTATATTTATTTTTTCAATTTATTTTGACAATGTTGAACCTTTTTCAAAGTTGAGGGGGTAATTAAACTATTCCAACATGTTCAGAGACTTATTTGAGTTTTCAGTTTCGAAGTCAGATGCACAGATGGCAACCTGACGAGTGACGTGGTGGGGTGACCGGAGGATAACCCGTGAAAAATGGAATTTTGACCTTTTTTCCCAATTCAGGATGTGAATTGAACATTTTTTAGTTTAGGGATTGAATTGAGTCAACTCGACAGGTACGAGGGCCTATTTGAGCGTTTAACCTTTATATTTTATTCTTACTTTACCAATTTAATAACAAACACATAAAGTCATTTTTCTTAATAAATGCATCACATCTTCACGTTCAAATGTTAATGGGATGGAGATAGTAATATTTAATTTGGTGGCTCTGATTCTCTGAATAGTAATTTCAGGGGTTTAAATAGAACTAGAGCCCATTTATGATTCTGGTTTTTTTGTTTATCAGCCAACTTTTTAACTAAACACATAACTGTTGATTTTGCGCGCTAAATTGTGTAATGATAATAAAAAATAGGGAAAACTGTCAAATAGGTCCTCGAACTTTCATAAAAAGGTCAATTAAGTCCTTCTATAGGAGGTTCTGTCCGGCCGTCGCGATTTGGAGCAGTTCCCGGTGGAGTTTTTTGATGAAATTTTTTGAGCATCTTATTCACCAAGTCTAGTTTACTCATACCAAATTTCAGCTAAAAATTCAATCGAGAACACATTCAAATTAATTCTTGAAGATAACTGCGCATTTTTGCGTTCTCGAATTAATTTTAATGCGCTCAAGATTAAATTTTTAGCTAAAATTTGGTATGAGTAAACTAGTCTTGATGAATAAAATGCTCTAAAAATTTCATCAAAAATTTCACCAGGAACCGCCCCAAATCGCGATGACCGGACATAGTCTCCTATAGAAGGACTTAATTGACTTTTGTTGAAAGTTCGAGGACCTATTTGACAGTTTTCCCTAAAAAGTAAGGTTGGAGTTACTTTTTTAATGTATTGGCTGAAGTTACTATAGATGATCATTTTAGCTATTGTTTATATATTTTGTTCTTTATTTTATTAATAAAATATATTTTTAAGGAAAAATTCGCACTAATAATCCAACCTATTGACACTCTTCTATTATTAATCCCTCCTACCAGTTATTCTAAATTAATACGAATTATGGGGTAAACCTTCCCCAAACAGTCTGTTAACCTGCAGACCAAGTCTCAGTCGGTAATTAAAATTCACGTGATTACACGTGATGAATCTTTTATGTTAGCAAAGGCCACAGACGATGGAGAAAGATGAAGGAGAATAAGGACGAAGGAGAACAACCAAAGCAGCACCCCTCGCGTGGAAGAATCTGAGTAACGATTGAAGAACACAAACGAAAACGATCCTCATAAAGTCCGTCAGTGGGTCATCTTCTTGGACATGTAACTCGATTATGCGTAATTGCCACCACAACATACAAGCGAAAGTAAGAACGGTGAAGAAAGGGCGAAATCTGGGGAGAAAATTTTTTGGATGCTCACTTTGGCCTGTAAGTATGTCGTATTTAAATTTTCCTGGGATTAATTAAGGTTGAATTGATGCAGATGAACAATAATTGGTTTAGTATAATTTAGGGCTTTTTAGAAGTCATGTTGT